TGTAGTAAACGGTATAATACTAAACTACACACTGTAGTAAACTGTATAATACTAAACTACACACTGTAGTATACTGTAGAATACTGTAGAATACTATACTATGCACTCTAGTAAACTGTAATATACTATACTACACACTGTAGTAAACTGTAGTATATTGTAGAATACTATACTACACACTTTATAATACTATACTACACAATGTAGTATCCCTCGATCATGTGTAGTACTTACTATAGAATGTTGTATTATACTGTAGAACACTATAGGAAATACTACAGTATTATCTGCAAATAAAACACTGTAGTAAATACTACAGTAATGTACGCAAAAACACTACACTTTAAGTATAGTAAATAATACAGTATTTGATTTGCATATACCCTGCCCATTTTCCTCCCCCTTATCCTAATTGGTGCCGCCCATAAGTGAAAACACCTACACGCCAAGAATAGACCGTATATTGTGTTCCCTTCAGGTTATAGAATAGACCGTATATTGTGTTCCCTTCAGGTTATAGAATAGACCGTATATTGTGTTCCCTTCAGGTTATAGAATAGAACCGTATATTGTGTTCCCTTCAGGTTATAGAATAGACCGTATATTGTGTTCCCTTCAGGTTATAGAATAGACCGTATTTGTGTTCCCTTCAGGTTATAATAGACCGTATATTGTGTTCCCTTCAGGTTATAGAATAGACCGTATATTGTGTTCCCTTCAGGTTATAGAATAGACCGTATATTGTGTTCCCTTCAGGTTATAGAATAGACCGTATATTGTGTTTCCCTTCAGGTTATAGAATAGACCGTATATTGTGTTCCCTTCAGGTTATAGAATAGACCGTATATTGTGTTCCCTTCAGGTTATAGAATAGACCGTATATTGTGTTCCCTTCAGGTTATAGAATAGACCGTATATTGTGTTCCCTTCAGGTTATAGAATAGACCGTATATTGTGTTCCCTTCAGGTTATAGAATAGACCGTATATTGTGTTCCCTTCAGGTTATAGAATAGACCGTATATTGTGTTCCCTTCAGGTTATAGAATAGACCGTATATTGTGTTCCCTTCAGGTTATAGAATAGACCGTATATTGTGTTCCCTTCAGGTTATAGAATAGACCGTATATTGTGTTCCCTTCAGGTATAGAATAGACCGTATATTGTGTTCCCTTCAGGTTATAGAATAGACCGTATATTGTGTTCCCTTCAGGTTATAGAATAGACCGTATATTGTGTTCCTTCAGGTTATAGAATAGACCGTATATTGTGTTCCCTTCAGGTTATAGAATAGACCGTATATTGTGTTCCCTTCAGGTTATAGAATAGACCGTATATTGTGTTCCCTTCAGGTTATAGAATAGACCGTATATTGTGTTCCCTTCAGGTTATAGAATAGACCGTATATTGTGTTCCCTTCAGGTTATAGAATAGACCGTATATTGTGTTCCCTTCAGGTTATAGAATAGACCGTATATTGTGTTCCCTTCAGGTTATAGAATAGACCGTATATTGTGTTCCCTTCAGGTTATAGAATAGACCGTATATTGTGTTCCCTTCAGGTTATAGAATAGACCGTATATTGTGTTCCCTTCAGGTTATAGAATAGACCGTATATTGTGTTCCCTTCAGGTTATAGAATAGACCGTATATTGTGTTCCCTTCAGGTTATAGAATAGACCGTATATTGTGTTCCCTTCAGGTTATAGAATAGACCGTATATTGTGTTCCCTTCAGGTTATAGAATAGACCGTATATTGTGTTCCCTTCAGGTTATAGAATAGACCGTTATTTGTGTTCCCTTCAGGTTATAGAATAGACCGTATATTGTGTTCCCTTCAGGTTATAGAATAGACCGTATATTGTGTTCCCTTCAGGTTATAGAATAGACCGTATATTGTGTTCCCTTCAGGTTATAGAATAGACCGTATATTGTGTTCCCTTCAGGTTATAGAATAGACCGTATATTGTGTTCCCTTCAGGTTATAGAATAGACCGTATATTGTGTTCCCTTCAGGTTATAGAATAGACCGTATATTGTGTTCCCTTCAGGTTATAGAATAGACCGTATATTGTGTTCCCTTCAGGTTATAGAATAGACCGTATATTGTGTTCCCTTCAGGTTATAGAATAGACCGTATATTGTGTTCCCTTCAGGTTATAGAATAGACCGTATATTGTGTTCCTTCAGGTTATAGAATAGACCGTATTTCTATTGTGTTCCCTTCAGGTTATAGAATAGACCGTATATTGTGTTCCCTTCAGGTTATAGAATAGACCGTATATTGTGTTCCCTTCAGGTTATAGAATAGACCGTATATTGTGTTCCCTTCAGGTTATAGAATAGACCGTATATTGTGTTCCCTTCAGGTTATAGAATAGACCGTATATTGTGTTCCCTTCAGGTTATAGAATAGACCGTATATTGTGTTCCCTTCAGGTTATAGAATAGACCGTATATTGTGTTCCCTTCAGGTTATAGAATAGACCGTATATTGTGTTCCCTTCAGGTTATAGAATAGACCGTATATTGTGTTCCCTTCAGGTTATAGAATAGACCGTATATTGTGTTCCCTTCAGGTTATAGAATAGACCGTATATTGTGTTCCCTTCAGGTTATAGAATAGACCGTATATTGTGTTCCCTTCAGGTTATAGAATAGACCGTATATTGTGTTCCCTTCAGGTTATAGAATAGACCGTATATTGTGTTCCCTTCAGGTTATAGAATAGACCGTATATTGTGTTCCCTTCAGGTTATAGAATAGACCGTATATTGTGTTCCCTTCAGGTTATAGAATAGACCGTATATTGTGTTCCCTTCAGGTTATAGAATAGACCGTATATTGTGTTCCCTTCAGGTTATAGAATAGACCGTATATTGTGTTCCCTTCAGGTTATAGAATAGACCGTATATTGTGTTCCCTTCAGGTTATAGAATAGACCGTATATTGTGTTCCCTTCAGGTTATAGAATAGACCGTATATTGTGTTCCCTTCAGGTTATAGAATAGACTGTATATTGTGTTCCCTTCAGGTTATAGAATAGACCGTATATTGTGTTCCCTTCAGGTTATAGAATAGACCGTATATTGTGTTCCCGTCAGGTTATAGAATAGACCGTATATTGTGTTCCCTTCAGGTTATAGAATAGACCGTATATTGTGTTCCCGTCAGGTTATAGAATAGACCGTATATTGTGTTCCCTTCAGGTTATAGAATAGACCGTATATTGTGTTCCCGTCAGGTTATAGAATAGACCGTATATTGTGTTCCCGTCAGGTTATAGAATAGACCGTATATTGTGTTCCCGTCAGGTTATAGAATAGACCGTATATTGTGTTCCCTTCAGGTTCTAGAATAGACCGTATATTGTGTTCCCGTCAGGTTATAGAATAGACCGTATATTGTGTTCCCTTCAGGTTCTAGAATAGACCGTGTATTGTGTTCCCTTCAGGTTATAGAAAAGAGCAGAAGCGCTGAACTATCCTGTCCCACCCCAGTCCTACTTACAGGTTATGGGAAAAATGTCCTATTTTAGTATTTCTCCAGTAGGTTTCCTCAGGGAGAAAGCACCCCATTTCTATGTCAAATATAATAAAACCAAAACACTATAGTAAATACTACAGTATACCAGAGTTATTTTACTACAGTATTTATACTATAGCAAACTGTAAAGACTACAGTATACTACAGTAAATACTACCGCAAAAACACTACAGTGAATACTACAGTAAAGTCTGCTAAACAACACGACAGTGAATACTATAGTATTTATTTATTTATAGTATTTATACCATAGTATTTTTTTCATATCAGCTGACACAGATATGGTGGTGTAGCAGGAAGATCGGAGTACCGTGAACCAAGGGGTTGTGAGTTCAAATTTACATTTTAGTCTTTTAGCAGACGCTCTTATCCAGAGCAACTTACAGTTAGTGAGTGCATACATTATTTTATTTTTTAATACTGGCCCCCCGTGGGAATTGAACCCACAACCCTGGCGTTGCAAACGCCATGCTCTACCAACTGAGCTACATCCCTCCCTGCCGGCCATTCCCTCCCCTACCCTGGATGAATTGTGCGCCGCCCCATGGGTCTCCCGGTCGCGGCCGGCTACGACAGAGCCTGGATTTGAACCAGGATCTCTAGTGGCACAGCTAGCACTGCGATGCAGTGCCTTAGACCACTGTGCCACTCGGGAGGTCAAATCCCAGGTGAGGATATGTTGAATAATTATTATTAGACGCAAAATGTAATCATGTAAGTTGAAAACACTGCATGTTAAAAGTACTGTGTGTATGAGTATCCCTAACCCTGCCAACAGACAAAGAGCAATGAATGGATCCATGGTTCACCAATCAGGGCCTTGATTGGCTCGGCAATAGTAACAAGACCTTGTATGAAATTAATTTTTCTTTGGACACATAAATGTTCTTGCAACGTTCCCATGAAACTTGTCTAGAACATTAATATCATATGTTCTGAGAACACGGCAACCATGTTCTGTGTACGTTTGGTGGGACGTTGATGGAATATTCTCCTAACCCACAGAAAACTGGACACATGAATGAGCTTGCAACGTTCCCATGAAACATGTTAAGAACATTCATATCTTAAGTTCCGAGAACATGTTCTGGGTAAGTTCTATTAGAAATTAAGGGAATGGTCCCCAGGAAACGTTCCTTGCACATCACAGGAACATTCCTATGAAAATGTTAAAGACCTAAGGAGGCTCTTAAGGGAACGTTCTCTAAAGTTGTGGGAATGTTTTTTGTTAGCTGGGATGAGAGAGAAGAGGATAGAAGAACTGAATATAAAAAGTGAACATCAGTAGATATAGTTTCTAACGTTTCGTTTTATTTTGTAAGACAGTCGGGGCTGGCAGGTAGGATTTAGTTGTCCTCTCTGGCTCCCACTCCAGTACAGTAGGTGGCGGTAGTGCACCATAACGTTGGATGCCAAACGCCGATAAACCCCCACAGAAGAAGAGTTACTTTCGGCACACCCCCTCTGGCTCACCGGTGCACACCCTAGCCTTCTCACCTGCCCTGGCCGCCGAGCACAGCACGATAACACAGCAGCCGTCAATGGACAAATGCTGTAGCAAGGATCATGGTGGGGAAAAGTCTAGTGACTTTAGTGGTTCTAATTTGTTGCATCGTTGGAACCGAGAACAATCAAGGTGGGTGAGAGATTGAGATGTTTTTTTTATTGCCTTTAGGTGACAGCCTTCTACATTAAGTTTGGTACCTGTTGCGATTACAATGCCTCGGGAATAGGTTCCTTCCGCACAAAATAATTAATTGTGTTATTGCCTGCTAGAAATACTGATCCAGGGTCGGTCTTATTGTTTCAACATAATGCCTAAAGGTTTGGGCGGGGATGGGAAGGGCTGATCCTAAATCAGTTTTTAATGCGTGGACCCGGATATGAAACGTCGGCTAAACAAATACAACATGGAATGTGACACACCACAAATATATACATTGTGAAAAATGTAAGTTAAGTTGTTTAGACACTACTATTTTATATTTAGTTTAGTTTAGTTATTTTATTTAAAGGTTAACAAAAAAGAAAGTGGGAAGTTTACTTCAGTGTCTGAGTTCTGGAAGCCAAGAGGAAGTGCTACAGATTGTTACATCAGATAATGTGATTTAACCAAATATTTGTGGTATTCCTGGGAGTTACAGGTTAGGTACTGTTTGGTGTAGCACAGAGAATGTTTGACCAACCTTGGCGATACTTTCTTCCTCCTCAAATTCGTGGAAACAGGAGTCTTATAAAATGTCCGTGTCAAGTTGCAGGGGGTCCGTTTTGAATTTAGAAAATGCCCCATTATTTAAAAAAAATAGTTGTTTTGCTCCATGAAGTAATCCAACAATGTGTATGCCGTCATCTTGTCTATTTTAAGTCTTGTCTCATTGATCGAGACAGGTGTCTGTCATCATGACATTTGGATTTATTATGGATCCCCCTTACTCTTCTTGGGGTCCGGCAAAATTAAGGCATTTATACCATTTTAAAAACATTACAATACATTCATAACCGATTTCACAACACACTAGGTGGGGTAATTGGGCTGATTTGTTGCCACTCAAGACTGTTTTACGTGCCTGGTTGGGCTGCACGACGAGTCGATCAAAAGATGACGGTGTGCGTCCCAGTCGAAACAGTTCGCCCCATGTCATTGTTTGACGTGTTGGTCTTCGGCAGGTTTTTTGGTCTGTTCTGAACACGTTTGACGTGTTGGTCTTCGGCAGGTTTTTTGGTCTGTTCTGAACACGTTTGACGTGTTGGTCTTCGGCAGGGTTTTTGGTCTGTTCTGAACACGTTTGACGTGTTGGTCTTCGGCAGGTTTTTTGGTCTGTTCTGAACACGTTTGACGTGTTGGTCTTCGGCAGGGTTTTTGGTCTGTTCTGAACACGTTTGACGTGTTGGTCTTCGGCAGGTTTTTTGGTCTGTTCTGAACACAAAGGTTTTATTGAGGCAAGTCGAAGTTCCTGAGCCGCAGTCTACGCCCCTTCGGCTGTCAACAGTACTACTCCTAGTAGGAGCGGGGACATGAAGTGTTTTTGTTGTCGTTCAACAAGAGATTACTACTTTTCATGCACCGTTTTTCACTTCAGAAATACTGCACCAAACATCTTAGTTAGATGTACAATTGTGCGACTAAGACCTCCAGCAGCAAAAACTTCCAAAATGAATGACAGATTTCTTGATTTATCTTAGATTCATTCAGACGATTTTGAGCAACCGTTTCTGGCTATGTTGTTGCTACGGTGGCTCAAGAGAGAGAAACAACAGTCATATTGTAGCGTTTTTCTAGTTTTACAAGCCAAGGTCTTTAGGGAGTATGAGAGCACCAGACGGTCGCTTCACCAAGCCGATATCTGCTAGGAGCAAACTGAACCTGAGGTGATTCCCACTGGGCAGCTGTATAACGGTATTGCCGGTGGTAGCTAATGTGGCAATTTCTTTACCCTCACATACAGTGGGGGGGAAAAGTATTTAGTCAGCCACCAATTGTGCAAGTTCTCCCACTTAAAAAGATGAGAGAGGCCTGTAATTTTCATCATAGGTACACGTCAACTATGACAGACAAATGGAGAGAAAAAAATCCAGAGAAAATCACATTGTAGGATTTTTTATGAATTTATTTGCAAATTATGGTGGAAAATAAGTATTTGGTCACAGCCTACACAAGACATAACTATACTGAACAAAAATATAAACGCAACATGCAACAATTTCAATGATTTTACTATGTTACAGCTCATATAAGGAAAATCAGTCAATTGAAATAAATTCATCAGGCCCTAATCTAAGGATTTCACATGACTGGGCAGGGACACAGCCATGGGTGGGCCTGGCTCCTCAGGGGGTGGGCCTGGCTCCTCAGGGGGTGGGCCTATGCCCTCCCAGGCCCACCCATGGCTATGCCCCTGCCCAGTCATGTGAAATCCATAGATTAGGGCCTGATTAATTTATTTCAATTGACTGATTTTCCTTATATGAATTGTAACATTGTAAAATCATTGACATTGTTGCATGTTGCCAATCAGAATGAGTTTTTCTCACAAAGGGGCTTTATTACAGACAGAAATACTCCTCAGTTTCATCAGCTGTCCGGGTGGCTGGTCTCAGACGATCAGGTGAAGAAGCCGCATGTGGAGGTCCTGGTCTGGCGTGGGTACACGTGGTCTGTGGTTGTGAGGCCGGTTGGATGTAGTGCCAAATTCTTTAAAATGATGTTGGAGGCTGGTTTTTTTGGTAGAGAAATTAACATTAAATTCTCAGGCAACATCTCTGGTGGACATTCCTGCAGTCAGCATGCCAATTGCACGCTCCCGCAAAACTTGAGACATCTGTGGCATTGTGTTGTGTGACAAAACTGCACATTTTTAGAGTGGTCTTTTATTGTCCCCAGCACAAGGTGCATCTGTGTAATGATCATGCTGTTTAATCAGCTTCTTGATATGTCACACCTGTCAGGTGGATTGATTATCTTGGCAAAGGAGAAATGCTCACTAACAGGGATGTAAACAAATTTGTGCAAAACATTTGAGAGAAATAAGCTTTTTGGGCATATAGAAAATGTCTGGGATCTTTTATTTCAGCTCATGAAACATGGGACCAACACTTTAAATGTTGCCTTTTTATATTTTTGTTCAGTGTAATATTGATAACATCTAGATGTCACCTTAATACATTCTACTTAATGGGGACGACATGAACGGCTTATCATCAGTACTTTATAATAAGAAATGGTCAGTTTTACTAACTGCAGATTTAGAATTATTTGTGTAAAACTAACGGTGAAATACAGCTCAGACTAATCATCTGGCTTCAAAACAGAAGTCCAAACTCTCGCGATACGGTGGTTGTATGGTAAGAAACGAAAAACCACACCGCTTAATCAAAACCGTTTAACCAATAATGGAGCGCTGATGTTACGCCATCACTGTTGATCTACCCGCTGATGTTACGCCATCACTGTTGATCTACCCGCTGATGTTACACCATCACTGTTGATCTACCCGCTGATGTAACACCATCACTGTTGATCTACCCGCTGATGTAACACCATCACTGTTGATCTACCCGCTGATGTTACGCCATCACTGTTGATCTACCCGCTGATGTAACACCATCACTGTTGATCTACCCGCTGATGTAACACCATCACTGTTGATCTACCCACTGATGTAACACCATCACTGTTGATCTACCCGCTGATGTTACGCCATCACTGTTGATCTACCCGCTGATGTTACGCCATCACTTATTTCGCCACGCCCACTTTCACTCACTCCAGATATGCAGTACTATCCATACCTAAAGAGAACTGATGATAATGGCCTCGTTCGAGAGCATCAAAACCGTGATGCATCATGGGTCAGTTGTGACTGACTGACTGATCTACAAATCACACTGAGTAGTCACAGTGCCTTGCAAAAGGATTCAGACCCCTTGGATTCATACTGAGTAGTCACAGTGCCTTGCAAAAGGATTCAGACCCCTTGGATTCATACGGAGTAGTCACAGTGCCTTGCAAAAGGATTCAGACCCCTTGGATTCATACTGAGTAGTCACAGTGCCTTGCAAAAGGATTCAGACCCCTTGGATTCATACGGAGTAGTCACAGTGCCTTGCAAAAGGATTCAGACCCCTTGGATTCATACTGAGTAGTCACAGTGCCTTGCAAAAGGATTCAGACCCCTTGGATTCATACGGAGTAGTCACGGTGCCTTGCAAAAGGATTCAGACCCCTTGGATTCATACTGAGTAGTCACAGTGCCTTGCAAAAGGATTCAGACCCCTTGGATTCATACGGAGTAGTCACGGTGCCTTGCAAAAGGATTCAGACCCCTTGGATTCATACTGAGTAGTCACAGTGCCTTGCAAAAGGATTCAGACCCCTTGGATTCATACGGAGTAGTCACGGTGCCTTGCAAAAGGATTCAGACCCCTTGGATTCATACTGAGTAGTCACAGTGCCTTGCAAAAGGATTCAGACCCCTTGGATTCATACGGAGTAGTCACGGTGCCTTGCAAAAGGATTCAGACCCCTTGGATTCATACTGAGTAGTCACAGTGCCTTGCAAAAGGATTCAGACCCCTTGGATTCATACTGAGTAGTCACGGTGCCTTGCAAAAGGATTCAGACCCCTTGGATTCATACGGAGTAGTCACAGTGCCTTGCAAAAGGATTCAGACCCCTTGGATTCATACTGAGTAGTCACAGTGCCTTGCAAAAGGATTCAGACCCCTTGGATTTCTTTACATTTTTATTGTGTTAAAAAGTGGGATTAAAGTGGATTTAATTGTCTTTTTTTTTTGTCAACAATTTACTCAAAATACTCTGTCAATGTGGTCCTCTGTAGCTCAGCTGGTAGAGCACGGTGCTTGTAACGCCAAGGTAGTGGGTTCGATCCCCGGGACCACCCATACGCAAAAATTTATGCACGCACGACTGTAAGTCGCTTTGTATAAAAGCGTCTGCTAAATGGCATATTATTATTATTATTATTATTATTATTATTATAAAATAAAAAATTGATAACTAAAATATAGTCGTTGCATAAGTATTCAGCCGCTTTGTTTAGGAAAGTCTATATTAGTTCAGGAGTCAAATGTGGCTTAACAAATCGCATAATAAGTTACATGGACTCACTCTGTGTGAAGTAATATGGGTTGACATGATGTTTGAATGACTACCCCGTCCTCTGTCCCCCATACATACAACATCTGGAAGGTCCACTACCCCGTCCTCTGTCCCCTATACATACAACATCTGGAAGGTCCACTACCCCTTCCTCTGTCCCCTATACATACAACATCTGGAAGGTCCACTACCCCGTCCTCTGTCCCCTATACATACAACATCTGGAAGGTCCACTACCCCTTCCTCTGTCCCCTATACATACAACATCTGGAAGGTCCCTCAGTCAAGTATTGAATTTCAAGCACAGATTCAACTACAAAGACCAGGGAGCTTTTCGAAAGCCTCATAAAGAAGGGCAGTGATTGGTGGATGGGGAAACAATAACAAATCAGACATTGAATATCTCTTTTAAGCATTGGTCAAGTTAATAATTATGCTGTGGATTACGTATTAAACCAGACACGTCGAAGATAGTTGTCCTTCTGAACTGAACTGCAGGACAGGAATGAACCTGCTCAGGGATGTTACCATGAGGTCATTGGTTATTTGAAAACATGTACAGAGTTCAATGGCTGTGATGGGAGAACTGAGGGTGGATCAACATTTGTAGTGACGTCACAATCACGACTTAAACGACAGTGAAAAGAACAATGGAAATATACAGAATCAGAATATTCCAGAACATTCTGTATGCAACAAGGCACTGAAGTAATACTGAAGGGAAAAAAAACACTGCAAAGGAACACACTTTTTGGCCTAATGCCCCCCCCCACCCAAAGAATGAGCAAATCCAACACAACACATCACTAAGTAAAGGCGTCCGCATGCTTCCCAGCTGAAACAGTTCGGAACAGTTCGTGCATATATTATGACAACATTTTGTGACGTTTTTGTTCGTTTTGGACTTAGGCAAGGGGGTTTTCGGGCTGTTTGGGCACACATTTCTTCTCGAGGAAAGTCGAAGTCTACGCCCCCTCGTCTGCGATTGGTCAACAGTAGGGATTCTTCAATGAAATGCCTGATGTCATTCAACGAGAGACGACTCGTCCTCATGGAAAAATAATTTACTTGAGAAAATACTGCACCAATCATTCTAGTCAGATGCAAAATTGCACGACTACGATCTCCTCAGCAAAAACGTCAAAATGAATGACAGATTTCTTGAGTTATCTTAGATGAATTCAGACTATTTTGAGGAAGTGTATAATTGCTGCGTTTTTCAGGATAAAAATAAATGGGACTGGATGGAGCTAAGCACAGGCAAAATCCTAGTGGAAAACCTGCTCCAGTCTGCTTTCCACCAGAGACTGGTAGAGGAATTCACCTTTCAGCAGGACAATAACCTAAAACACAAGGCCAAATCTACACTGGAGTTGCTTACCAAGAAGACAGTGAATGTTCCTGAGTGGCCGAGTTACAGTTTTGACTTAAATCTACTTGAAAATCTTTGGCAAGACTTAAAAATAGCTGTTTAGCCATGATTCCCAACATCTTGACAGAGCTTGAAGAATTATGAAAAGAATAATGGGCAAATGTAATAAAAATAATATTGCACAATACAGGTGTGGTAAAGCTCTTAGACTTACCCAGAAAGACTCACAGCTGTAATCGTGTTTCTAACATGTATTGATTTAGGGAGCTGAATACTAATGCAAAGACTATATATTTTTGTTATTTAATTTCTATTAATCTTTAAATGTAAAACATTTATAAAATATACTTTGACAGAGTATTTTGTGTAGATTGTTGATAAAAAAGGACATTTGAAACCCACTTTGTAACACAATGAAATGTGATGAAATCCAAGGATACTTTTGCAAGGCACTGTATTTATGATGCAAGGTGATTTTGTAGAGCAGTCAGTCTCGATTCGCCTTTCAAGTCGGCTTCAATGTTGAAGGCGCCTAACGAATCACCTATACTCAGCAGTGCATCAGTGTTTTCCACTCATTTATCGAACTTGGGAACCATGCCAATATGTCATCATTGACACATTTCAGTAGATGTATGTTTTTTTTTACTTGATTTAATTAGCTGATTGATTGATTGGACTGTTAGACTTTGTCTGTGTATGTAATCTTCGCCATTCAGGACATTGGCTATTAGAATATGAACCAGGTAGTTCATAGCTGTTCTTTTGACCTTTTCAGATATTTTCAACGGACAGACATCTAAACTTTCCAGCTACACGGTTGTGAAGCCTCAGCTTATTCAGAGGAGATGGGCTAGAGATGCAGACAGACTTCCTGAATCGGGAAAGGTAGGATACCTACAGGTCTCCAACTCGTGGTTTTTGACACACGATGGTACATGACTGGCGTATTTTCATGTGACGTGACTGTGCTGCGTCGGAACTCATTTCAGACTCAAGAACCTGAGAGGCTTTCTTATTCGTTGATCATTGACGACAAGGAACACTTCCTCCATCTAAAAAAGAACACGTATGTCAGCGCATTATTTTTCTATTGCATATTAGTAATTACCTTAATGTCACACAATTCTATGCTTGTGGAGTGATCTGTGTATTTTTCTTTTGTCAGAGAGTTTTTATCCGAAAGCTTTGTTCAGTTTTCCGATGATGACAGTGGGAATCTGACGCCTACATATCCTAAGCCCGATGTAAGTAGCAGTGACTACATTACAGAATGACATTGGGGGGAATGTAAGGGGAGACTCGGGATGGATGGATGGGTGGGTGGGTGGGAGGGGGACTGACAAGCAACCTTGGTTGCTGGGTGGGGTGGGAGGCATGCTTTCTTCGGGCTGGGGGGCATGGTTTATTGGGTACGCCCATCTAGAACTGGGTCGGACCCCCCCCCCCTTTCCCTCCAGAACAGCTTGAATTCTTCGGGGTATTCTACAAGGTGTCGGAAACGTTCCACAGGGATGTTCGTCCATGCTGATGCGATAGCATCATGCAGTTGCTGCAGATTGGACGGCGGTACATTCATGCTGTGAACAGCCCGTTCCATCTCATCCCAAAGATGCTCTATTGGGTTGAGGTCTGGGGACTGCACAGGCCACTCAAGTAAACTGAACTAGCTGTCATGTTCCAGGTGATGTTTTTCCACTCCTCAGTTGTCCAGTGTTGGTGATGGCGTGCCCACTGGAGCCGCTTCTTCTTGTTTTTAGCTGATAGGAGTGGAACCCGGTGTGGTCGTCTGCTGCAATAGCCCATCCGTGACAAGGACCGACGAGTTGTGCGTTCCGAGATGCCGTTCGGCACACCACTGTTGTACTGTACCGTTATTTGTCTGTTTGTGGCATACCTGTAAGCTTGCACGATTATTTCGCCCACAGGACTGCCGCTGACTGGATGTTTTTTGTTTGTCGCACCGTTCTCGGTAAACCCTAGACGCTGTTGTTCGTAAAAAGCCCAGGAGGGCGGCCGTTTTCTGAGACCTGGCACCGATGACTATACCACGCACAAAGTCGCTTAGGTCACTCGTTTTGCCCATTCTAACGTTCAATGGAACAGTAACTGAATGCCTCGATGCCTGTCTGCCTGCTTTATATAGCAAGCCACGGCCACGTGACTCACTGTCTGTAGGAGCGATCCATTTTCATGAACGGGGCGGTGTATCTAATAAACTGGCCAGTGTGTATGTGTATATAATTAATTATATATATATATATATATATATATATATATATATATATATATATATATATATATATATATATATATATATATATACAGTACCAGTCAAAAGTTTATTTTTTTCAGATTATTTTTTTAAATAAAGAAAAACCCTTGAATGAGTAGATGTGTCCAAACTTTTGACTGGTACTGTACATATACATGCATACATACATACATACATACATACATACATACATACATACATACAGTGGGGAAAACAAGTATTTAGTCAGCCACCAATTGTGCAAGTTCTCCCACTTAAAAAGATGAGAGAGGCCTGTAATTTTCATCATAGGTACACTATGACAGACAAAATGAGATTTTTTTTTCCAGAAAATCACATTGTAGGATTTTTAATGAATTTATTAGCAAATTATGGTGGAAAATAAGTATTTGGTCAATAACAAAAGTTTCTCAATAATTTGTTATATACCCTTTGTTGGCAATGACACAGGTCAAACGTTTTCTGTAAGTCTTCACAAGGTTTTCACACACTGTTGCTGGTATTTTGGCCCATTCCTCCATGCAGATCTCCTCTAGAGCAGTGATGTTTTGGGGCTGTCGCTGGGCAACACGGACTTTCAACTCCCTCCAAAGATTTTCTATGGGGTTGAGATCTGGAGACTGGCTAGGCCACTCCAGGACCTTGAAATGCTTCTTACGAAGCCACTCCTTCATTGCCGGGCGGTGTGTTTGGGGTCATTGTCATGCTGAAAGACCCAGCCACGTTTCATCTTCAATGGCCTTGCTGATGGAAGGAGGTTTTCACTCAAAATCTCATGATACATGGCCCCATTCATTCTTTCCTTTACACGGATCAGTCGTCCTGGTCCCTTTGCAGAAAAACAGCCCCAAAGCATGATGTTTCCACCCCCATGCTTCACAGTAGGTATGGTGTTCTTTGGATGCAACTCAGCATTCTTTGTCCTCCAAACACGACGAGTTGAGTTTTTACCAAAAAGTTATATTTTGGTTTCATCTGACCATATGACATTCTCCCAATCCTCTTCTGGATCATCCAAATGCACTCTAGCAAACTTCAGACGGGCCTGAACATGTACTGGCTTAAGCAGGGGGGCACGTCTGGCACTGCAGGATTTGAGTCCCTGGCGGCGTAGTGTGTTACTGATGGTAGGCTTTGTTACTTTGGTCCCAGCTCTCTGCAGATCATTCACTAGGTCCCCCTGTGTGGTTCTGGGATTTTTGCTCACCGTTCTTGTGATCATTTTGACCCCACGGGGTGAGATCTTGCGTGGAGCCCCAGATCGAAGGAGATTATCAGTGGTCTTGTATGTCTTCCATTTCCTAATAATTGCTCCCACTGTTGATTTCTTCAAACCAAGCTGCTTACCTATTGCAGATTCAGTCTTCCCAGCCTGGTGCAGGTCTACAATTTTGTTTCTGGTGTCCTTTGACAGCTCTTTGGTCTTGGCCATAGTGGAGTTTGGAGTGTGACTGTTTGAGGTTGTGGACAGGTGTCTTTTATACTGATAACAAGTTCAAACAGGTGCCATTAATACAGGGAACGAGTGGAGGACAGAGGAGCCTCTTAAAGAAGAAGTTACAGGTCTGTGAGAGCCAGAAATCTTGCTTGTTTGTAGGTGACCAAATACTTATTTTCCACCATAATTTGCAAATACATTCATTAAAAATCCTACAATGTGAGTTTCTGGAGAGAAAAAAATCTCAATTTGTCTGTCATAGTTGACGTGTACCTATGATGAAAATTACAGGCCTCTCTCATCTTTTTAAGTGGGAGAACTTGCACAATTGGTGGCTGACTAAATACTTTTTTTCCCCACTGTACATACATAATATTTCCACATGGCTGCTCTTGTTTGAATGACATGCCTGTGTATAGCTGCATGTCACATTGCAGGTCCATTGTTATTACCATGGTGACGTGTGTTGCAGGTCCATTGTTATTACCATGGTGACGTGTGTTGCAGGTCCATTGTTATTACCATGGTGACGTGTGTTGCAGGTCCATTGTTATTACCATGGCGATGTGGAGGATCATGAAGACTCTCTGGTCGCCCTCAGCACCTGCTCAGGTCTCAGGTCAGTCTCTCATTCACTTATATATAATAATACTAATCCTCAGTACCTGCTGACCTCAGGTCAGTCTTATATAATAATAATAATAATATGCCATTTATCCATGTGTGCATACATTTTTACGTATGGGTGGTCCCAGGGATCGAACCCACTACCCTGGCGTTGCAAGCGCCATGCTCTACCAACTGAGCTACAGGGGACCACATGCTTTTGTGTTTGTAGACCTGTAAATAGGGTTGTGTTGTATTCCACATTCATTGTTCTCATGAGAGGGCTTTAAATTCCTCTTAACAAGGAAGTTCTCCAGTCCTTTCATAATAGTTTCCTGGTTTGTCGAACCATTTATCCTGTTTCCCTGTCTTTCACTTTTATTGGCTGACTTCAGCTTGATGGGAGGAAATGCTGTTAAACCATTGATGTTCTGTGAATAAAGTAATTTGTCAGCATTGATTAAATTTATCTGCTTCTTTTTAGGGGTGTCATTCTCCTTGGCAACCAGAGTTATGGGCTTGAACCAGTCAAGCAGTCGACAAATAATGAGCACCTCCTCTACCGCCTGGAGCACAGCCAATCAGAGCCCTTTGTCTGCGGAGTGACCAATGAGACGTCGCACACTGAGAGTCACTCACCCTTCGACCCCTCCCTCTCGATGACGGCACTTTTACGGGTTGGGATGTGTCTATTACACAGCCTAGCAGAACATAACAGATATTAAAGTGTATTCGGGGTGAATGTTCTGATGACTGTCCAGACTAAACACACGCGAATGGATGTACTAGTCTCACTAAGGACTTTCTCTCATTTCTTCATAACAGAGAAAACGTAATTTACCTCAGACCAGATATGTCGAGTTGGTGTTGGTTGCTGACTTTCTCAGGGTAAAATACTTACTATTTGTCAATTTTATAGATGATGTGTAACTTGTATAGGGTGTTCCAACCTCTCCTCTGGGACCCCAAGCCGACCCCCAGCCGTTCCATGCATTTAACTATTCCACAGCTAGCTCACCTGATTCAACTTGTCAACTTAATCACCAAGCCCTTCACCTAGGTCAATCAGGTGAGATGGCTCAGGGCTACGACTAAATTGTGAAAACGTCTGGGGGGGTCCACGAGGAGAGGTTTCAAAACCACTTGCCTAATGTGTAATCGTGAGTTAATGATACTCTAATGGGTTATATTAGAATGTATTCCTATATGATCATCAACTGACTGAGTTCTGCTGTTTCTCACCAGTATACCTACAAGAAGAAGAACGAGACAGCGGTGCGCCAGGAGATGGTGGAACTAGCCAATCTGCTGGATGGGGTGACAAACTTATTTCCCTCTCTCGCTACTCAGTCTCAAGCGAACAAACATTGTTACACCGAAACGTACTTTCTTCGTCCTCATTGAGACCTACGGCTACAATGAGCTCTTCACTCAGGAGAAACAAGAGAAAGTACTAGACCAAGGGGTTGTTCAAATGTTACCCTGGGACGTACGGCCCACTGCTGGTTGTCTGTTCTCCCTGGGACGTACGGACTACTGCTGGTTGTCTGTTCTCCCTGGGACGTACGGCCCACTGCTGGTTGTCTGTTTTACCTGATCATTAATATCACCCACCTGGTGGCACAGGTCTAACTCAGTCCCTGATTAGAGGGGAACAATGAAATAAGTGGCTTCCAGGTCCAGATTTGAATTTGAAGGTACTAGACAATCAAATGTATTTATTCATAAAGCCCTTTTTCACAGCAGCAGATGTCACAAAGTGCTTTATACAGAAACCCAGCCTAAAACCCCAAACGGCAAGCAATGCAGATCCAATTTGTAAGTGGCTCTGGATAAGAGCGTCTGCTAAATGACTTAAATGCAGATGTAGAAGCACGGTGGCTAGGAAAAACTCCCTAGAAAAGGCAGCAACCTAGGAAGAAACCTAGAGAGGAACCAGGCTCTGAGGGGTGGCCAGTCCTCTTCTGGCTGTGCTGGGTGGAGATTATAAGAGTACATGGCCATTAAGGCCAGATCGTTCTTCAAGATGTTCAAACGTTCATAGATGACCAGCAGGGTCAAATAATAATCACAGTGGTTATAGAGGGTGCAACAGGTCCGCTTCCAGGTCCAGATTTGAATTTGAGGGTACTAGATTATGTGGCTGTGTGTCCTGTAATAATTAGCATAAACTGATGTCTTTTTATATGTTTTTCTCTATCCATCTACAGTACTATAAGAAGCTGAATATCCGCGTGGTGTTGGTCGGCCTGGAGATCTTTAAGGAAGCCAACCCCTTTAGTGTGGAAGGCTCCGCGGGGGAAGTGTTGGGACGTTTCGTCAAGTGGAGGGCGACGGAGCTGCTACCCCGGATCAGGCATGACGACGCGCAGCTCGTTGTGTGAGTGGAGAGATGTATGGGTTCTGTGTGGCTCAGTTCGTAAGAGAATGGCGCTAGCTAGGTCGTGGGTTCGATTCCCGTAGCGATCACATGTACACATACTAAAAAAATGCATACAGTCACTATAGTATGTACGTGGCTTTGAAAAGACAGTCTGCTAAGTGGCATATTCTATTGTATTAGATATTTGCATATGTCAGTACATTTATTGACATTTTCTCCTTTTTATTTTGTTCCATTTTAAATATTTGAATACCGCTGGTGTCTTCAGCCAGCCAGGTCTGTGATTTAGCATCCGACCACCGACTAGCGTGTGGTCCTCTGTAGCTCAGCTGGTAGAGCACGGCGCTTGTAACGGCAGGGTAGTGGGTTCGATCCCCGGGACCACCCATACACAAAAATGTATGCACGCATGACTGTAAGTCGCTTTGGATAAAAGCGTCTGCTAAATGGCATATTATTATTTATTATTATTCATCTAATACTGAGCAGTTTGTCTCCAGCCGATGCATAGCAATGACTAGTTGATAAATGTTTCAATTGTGTCCCGATTACCCAATCATCTTAAGCCCTACGAGGTCCGGACTACTGCTGGTTCTCTCCTATCTGATAATGAATTGCACCGACCTGATGTCCCAGGTTGAACTCAGTACAGGAACAATGAACCAAAGCAGTGGAACTGGCTTCCACGCCCAGAGTTACATTATACAGCAGTGGAACTGGCTTCCACGCCCAGAGTTACATTATACAGCAGTGGAACTGGCTTCCACGCCCAGAGTTACATTATACAGCAGTGGAACTGGCTTCCACGCCCAGAGTTACATTATACAGCAGTGGAACTGGCTTCCACGCCCAGAGTTACATTATACAGCAGTGGAACTGGCTTCCACGCCCAGAGTTACATTATACAGCAGTGGAACTGGCTTCCACGCCCAGAGTTACATTATACAGCAGTGGAACTGGCTTCCACGCCCAGAGTTACATTATACAGCAGTGGAACTGGCTTCCACGCCCAGAGTTACATTATACAGCAGTGGAACTGGCTTCCACGCCCAGAGTTACATTATACAGCAGTGGAACTGGCTTCCACGCCCAGAGTTACATTATACAGCAGTGGAACTGGCTTCCACGCCCAGAGTTACATTATACAGCAGTGGAACTGGCTTCCACGCCCAGAGTTACATTATACTCTGTAATGGAAGTGGACTGTAGTGTAGACTGATGGAAAGTTGTCATGTATTTTTCTGCAGTGGTGTGAAAAAGTACCCAGTTGTCATACTTGAGTAAAAGTAGAAGAAACCTTTTAACAGGAAATGACTCAAGTAAAAGTGAAAGTCACTCCAGTAAAATACTACTTGAGTAAAAGTCAAAAATTATTTGGTTTTAAATATACTTAAGTATCAAAAGTAAATGTCATTGCAAAAATGTACTTTAGTGTCAAAAGTAAAAGTATAAATCATTTCAAAGTCCTTTAATATTAAGCAAACCAGTTGGCACAATTGTTCGTGTTTTTATTTTATTTGCGGATAGCCAGGGGCACACTCCAACACTCAGACATCATTCAGAAACAAAGCAGTTGTGTTTAGTGAGTCCGCCAGATCAGAGGCAGTAGAGATGACCAGGGATGTTCTCTTGATAAGTGTGTGAATTGGACCATTTTCTTGTCCTGCTAAGCATTCAAAATGTAACGAGTACGTTTGGGTGTCAGGGAAAATGTATGGAGTAAAAAGTACATTATTTTCTTTAGGAATGTAGTGAAGTAAAAGTAAAAGTAGTCAAAAATATAAAAAGTAAAGTACAGATACCCAAAAAAAACTACTGAAGTACTTTACACCACTGATTTTCTGTATTGTAAGCTGATCTACAGCTACGATACTTGTCCTGCAATGTCTGACATGTTTTCTCTTGGTTTTCCCAGCGGTCTGTTAGTTGATCAGCTTTGTTTTATCCTGTAATGTTTTTTTTTTTTTTTTTATTCTGTCTTTGTTTCCCAGTGGTCGGGCGGGTGCGTATGCGGGAGGGGTCCTGGGCATGGCGTTCGTGGGCACCGTGTGTTCTGCGGCCACCGCTGGAGGAATCAATGTGGTTAGTAGACAGTACAACTTACCCTTGTATCAGACTAACGCATAAAGCATGTTTCAAAACTCGAGGCCCGCGGGCTGGATACGCCCATTCAATGCAGCCCGCGGGTAGTTTGAGTTTAACCCCCTAAGGTCGATGTCCCTACGGAAACTCAATTAGCGTAATAATAAAAAATCCCCATAGAAACGTGTCAGTTTAAGATAGAGAGATCTGTGTTTTTTGCATTGGATGCATCTTGATCCACCGCATCCGCCGATGTCGCACTTCCACATCTGAGGTGAAAGGTGACTGAGCTAGAGTGGTGTTTGTCAGACCATGAGACATCCTGAAAATCTGTCTTCTCAAAAGCATGTTTCAAACTCGATGCCTGCGGGACGGATACGCCCATTCAATGCAGCCCGCAGGTAGTTTGAGTTTAAAGCTCCCATGCAGTCTTTTTAATGGTATTTTTAATCTAAGTTTACATTGAAATTACTGTAGTCCAAAGAAACCAATGAAAAGGCTTCCTTTGTGGCGTAGTGGTTTTGTCCTAACACCTAGCAGACTAACACCTAGCAGACTAACACCTAGCAGACTAACACCTAGCAGACTAACACCTAGCAGACTAACACCTAGCAGACTAACACCTAGCAGACTAACACCTAGCTGACTAACACCTAGCAGACTAACACCTAGCAGACTAACACCTAGCTGACTAACACCTAGCAGACTAACACCTAGCTGACTAACACCTAGCAGACTAACACCTAGCTGACTAACACCTAGCTGACTAACACCTAGCAGAATAACACCTAGCTGACTAACACCTAGCAAACTAACACCTAGCAGAATAACACCTAGCTGACTAATCCTTGTAACAGCTAGCCAGAGACAGGACCCTAACACCTAGCAGACTAACACCTAGCAGACTAACACCTAGTAGACTAATCCTTGTAACAGCTAGCCAGAGACAGGACCCTAACACCTAGCAGACTAATCATTGTAACAGCTAGCCAGAGACAGGACCCTAACACCTAGCAGACTAATCCTTGTAACAGCTAGCCAGAGACAGGACCCTAACACCTAGCAGACTAATCCTTGTAACACCGAGCCAGAGACAGGACCCTAACACCTAGCAGACTAACACCTAGCAGACTAATCCTTGTAACAGCTAGCCAGAGACAGGACCCTAACACCTAGCAGACTAATCCTTGTAACAGCTAGCCAGAGACAGGACCCTAACACCTAGCAGACTAATCCTTGTAACAGCTAGCCAGAGACAGGACCCTAACACCTAGCAGACTAATCCTTGTAACAGCTAGCCAGAGACAGGACCCTAACACCTAGCAGACTAACAGCTAGCAGACTAATCCTTGTAACACCGAGCCAGAGACAGGACCCTAACACCTAGCAGACTAATCCTTGTAACAGCTAGCCAGCTAGTACCATCTGACGTTGTGGTTGTTAGCGTTGTGAGGTCATGTCAGCCACCTGATAGGTCTAGATTATTCATGAGTCACTCTGATGTAGGAAGACAATAGTGCAGTTTGTTCTCAGACACACCATGGCTGCTTCCCAAATGACACCCATATTCCCTTTTAATGACACTACTTTTGACCAGAGCCTTGATCTAAAGTAGTGCACTATAAAAGCAATAGAGTACCATTTGGGACGCTGCTCATGAATAACACAGGAGTCAAACGGCTACACAGATGTAACAGGCAAGACCAGTCCACAGTGACGAAGAACAGCGTCTGTGGCATTCCACAGACCAGTCCACAGTGACGAAGAACAGCGTCTGTGGCATTCCACAGACCAGTCCACAGTGACGAAGAACAGCATCTGTGGCATTCCACAGACCAGTCCACAGTGACGAAGAACGGCGTCTGTGGCATTCCACAGACCAGTCCACAGTGACGAAGCACGGCGTCTGTGGCATTCCACAGACCAGTCCACAGTGACGGAGCACAGCGTCTGTGGCATTCCACAGACCAGTCCACAGTGACGAAGCACAGCGTCTGTGGCATTCCACAGACCAGTCCACAGTGACGAAGAACAGCGTCTGTGGCATTCCACAGACCAGTCCACAGTGACGAAGAACAGCGTCTGTGGCATTCCACAGACCAGTCCACAGTGACGAAGAACGGCGTCTGTGGCATTCCACAGACCAGTCCACAGTGACGAAGAACGGCGTCTGTGGCATTCCACAGACCAGTCCACAGTGACGAAGCACGGCGTCTGTGGCATTCCACAGACCAGTCCACAGTGACGAAGCACAGCGTCTGTGGCATTCCACAGACCAGTCCACAGTGACGAAGCACAGCGTCTGTGGCATTCCACAGACCAGTCCACAGTGACGAAGAACAGCGTCTGTGGCATTCCACAGACCAGTCCACAGTGACGAAGAACAGCGTCTGTGGCATTCCACAGACCAGTCCACAGTGACAAAGAACAGCGTCTGTGGCATTCCACAGACCAGTCCACAGTGACGAAGAACAGCGTCTGTGGCATTCCACAGACCAGTCCACAGTGACGAAGAACAGCGTCTGTGGCATTCCACAGACCAGTCCACAGTGACGAAGCACAGCGTCTGTGGCATTCCACAGTCCAGTCCACAGTGACGAAGAACAGCGTCTGTGGCATTCCACAGACCAGTCCACAGTGACGAAGAACAGCGTCTGTGGCATTCCACAGACCAGTCCACAGTGACGAAGAACAACGTCTGTGGCATTCCACTGACCAGTCCACAGTGACGAAGCACAGCGTCTGTGGCATTCCACTGACCAGTCCACAGTGATGAAGCACAGCGTCTGTGGCATTCCACAGACCAGTCCACAGTGACGAAGCACAGCGTCTGTGTCATTCCACAGATTCTCCTTTGTATTGTAATGTGCAGCGCTCTGTGTAATACCAGTTTCCAAAGGCTCCTGTTTGTCGTTATGGTATTCAGAGTATTTTAAACTCCTTTTTGTGCTTTTGGTTTAAATCATAATTTCTTCTTATACACTTTGAACGATTCCAAATATGAAACCTATATGAGCAGCGTGTGTGTGTGTCTTCCACTGAATGTTTTCTCCAGTATGGTGGCGACAATCTGGGCTACGTCTCCACCGTAGTGGCCCACGAGATGGGCCATAACCTGGGCATGAATCACGATGACGGCCGCTGCACCTGTAATGGAGGGAGCTGTGTCATGGCTGCCACGGCATCGTAAGTAAAGTCCTGTCATCACCACACACTAAACCAACGTTCTTCTTTTATTTGACCCCTTTTTTTTCCCCCCTTTGCATTGTCTTTTTAAGAGGCCATCTGCTATTCAACCTGTTTGTTGAACTATATTAGATGTGAAGTTGCCACTGTATTGGTCAACACTGTTTGGACACACCTACTCATTCAACTGTTTTTCTTTATTTTTACATTTTTTTACATTGTAGAATAGTAGTGAAGACTTCAACTATGAAATAACACATGGAATCATGTAGTAACCAAAAAAGTGTTAACAATTTAAAATATATATATATTTCAGATTCTTCAAATAGCCACCCTTTGCACACTCTTGGCATTCTCTCAACCAGCTTCACCTGGAATGCTTTTCCAACAGTCTTGAAGGAGTTCCCACATATGCTGAGCACTTGTTGGCTACTTTTCCTTCACTCATCCCAAACCATCTCAATTGGGTTGAGGTCGGGGGATTGTGGAGGCCAGGTCATCTGATGCAGCACTCCATCACTCTCCTTCTTCGTCAAATAGCCCTTACACAGCCTGGAGGTGTGTTGGGTCATTGTTCTGTTGAAAAACAAATGATAGTCCCACTAAGCCCAAACCAGATGGGATGGCGTATCGCTGCAGAATGCTGTGGTAGCCATGCTGGTTAAGTGTGCCTTGAATTCTAAATAAATCACAGACGGTGTCACCAGCAAAGCACCCCCACACCATAACACCTCCTCCTCCATGCTTTACGGTGGGAAATACACATGCAGAGATCATCCGTTCACCCACACCGCGTCTCACAAAGACACAGCGGTTGGAACAAAAAATCTCAAATTTTGACTCTAGACCAAAGGACACATTTCCACCGGTCTAATGTCCATTGCTCGTGTTTCTTGGCCCAAGCAAGTCTCTTCTTATTGGTGTCCTTTAGTAGTGGTTTCTTTGCAGCAATTCGACCATGAAGGCCTGATTCACACAGTCCCCTCTGAACAGTTGATGTTGACATTTGTCTGGGACTTTAAATCTGTGAAGCATTTATTTGGGCTGCAATTTCTGAAGCTGGTAACTCTAATTAACTTATCCTCTGCAGCAGAGGTAACTCTGGGTCTTCCTTTCCTGTGGCGGTCCTCATGAGAGCCAGTTTCATCATAGCGCTTGATGGTTTTAGCGACTGCACTTGAAGAAACTTTCAAAGTTCTTGAAATTTTCCACATTGACTGACCTTCATGTCTTAAAGTAATGATGGACTGTTGTTTCTCTTTGCTTATTTGAGCTGTTCTTGGCATAATATGGACTTGGTCTTTTACCAAATAGGGCTATCTTCTGTATACCCCCCCTACCTTGTCACAACACAATTGATTGGCTCAAACGCATTAAGAAGGAAAGGAATTCCACAAATGAACTTTTAAGAAGGCACACCTGTTAATTGAAATGCATTCCAGGTGACTACCTCATGAAGCTGGTTGAGAGAATGCCAAGAGTGTGCAAAGCTGTCATCAAGGCAAAATGGTGGCTATTTGAAGAATCTCAAATATAAAATATATTTTCATTTGTTTAACACTTTTTTGGTTACTACATGATTCCATATGTGTTATTTCATAGTTTTGATGTCTTCACTATTAGTCTACAATGTAAAAATAAAGAAAAACCCTTGAATGAGTAGGTGTATCCAAACTTTTGACTGGTAGTGTATGTATACACAAAGGTATGTGGACACCCCTTCAAATTAGTGGATTTGGCTATGTCAGCAACGGGTGTGGCTGAAAGGTGTATAAAATCGATCACACAGCTATGCAATCTCCATAGACAAACAATGGCAGTAGAATGGCCTTACTGAAGAGCTCAGTGACTTTCAACGTGGCACCGTCATAGGATGCCACCTTTCCGGCATGTCAGTTTGTCAACATTCTGCCCTGCTAGAGCTGCCCTAGTCAGCTTTAAGTGCTGTTATTGTGAAGTGGAAACGTTTAGGAGCAACAACGGCTCAACCGTGAAGTGGTAGGCCACACAAGCTCACAGAACGGGACCGCCGAGAGCTGAAGCGCATAGCATAATTCAATTGTCTGTCCTCGGTTGCAACACTCACTACCGAGTTCCAAACGGCCTCTGAAAGCAACGTCAGCACAAGAACTGTTCGTTGGGAACTTCATGAAATGGGTTTCCATGGCCGAGCAGGCGCACACAAGCCTAAGATCACCATGCGCAATGCCAAGCATTGGCTGGAGTTGTGTAAAGCTTGCTGCCATTGGACTGGAGCAATGAATCACGCTTCACCATCTGGCAGTACGACGGACAAATCTGGGTTTGGTGGATGCCAGGAGAACGCTACCTGCCCCAATGCATACTGACAACTGTAAAGTTTGGTGGAGGGGGAATAATGGTCTGGGGCTGTTTTTCATGATTCGGGCTAGGCCCTTTAGTTCCAGTGAAGGGAAATATTTACACTACATCATACAATGACAATCTAGACGATTCTGTGCTTCCAACTTTGTGGCAACAGTTTGGGGAAGGCCCTTTCCTGTTTCAGCATGACAATGCCCCTGTGCACAAACCGAGGTCTATACAGAAATGGTTTGTCGAGATCGGTGTGGAAGAACTTGACTGGCCTGCACAGAGCCCTGACCTCAACCCCATTGAACACCTTTGGGATGAATTGGAACGCCGACTGCGAGCCAGGCCTAATCGCCCAACATCAGTGCCCGAACCTCACTAATGCTCTTGTGGCTGAATGGAAGCAAGTCCTGCAATGTTCCAACATCTAATGGAAAGCCTTCCCAGAAGAGTGGAGGCTGTTATAGCAGCAAAGGGGGGACCAACTCCATATTAATGCCCATGATTCTGGAATGAGATGTTTGACGAGCGGGTGTCCACATACTGTTGGTCAAATTGATAAGTGGATGTCTGATAGAAATAAAGCCATTGATTTTGTAAATGATTGAATGATTCCATTTCTATAGTATGCATGTTAGAAAGGGTGTGCACTGTGCACCCCAGGTACTGTCTGTCTCTGTGCTGTCTGCCGTCTGTACTGGCGTCTGTCTCTGCTGGCCGTCTGTCTTGTCTGTCTGCCTGACCTGTCTCCCGTCCAACGTCATCTCTGTTGCTGTGTGTGCATCTGTATGTGTTGATAACGTGAGATGCCTGCTGCTCTGGAACACCCCGGTCTGTCCTGTCTTCTGTCTGTCTGTCTGTCTGTCTGCTGTCTGTCTGCTCTGTCTGTCGTCCTGTCTGTCCTGCCTACCTGCTGTCTGTCTGTCTGTCTGTCTTGTCTGCCTGTCTGTCCTGTCTGTCTGTCCTGTCTGTCTGCCTGTCTGTCTGTCTGCTCTGTCCTGTCTGTCTGCTCTGTCTGCTGTCTGCCTTGTCCTGTTGTCCTCCCTTCTGTGGGTATGTCCTATGAATGGCCTGTCTTGCCTGTTGCCTGATTCTTTGCCTGTTCCTGTCTAATTGATCTGTTAATTCCCTGGTACTGCCTGTGGCCTGTCTGCTTACTACCTTTGATGGCTGCCCACCATCTGGTTATGACCTTTATGGCTTCTATTTTGTTTGATCATTGACACATGATTGATTTGTATATTGATTCATGATTGTTTTTTATTGAGCTTTGGTAGAGATCTTGCTGGTGTTTGGTGTTTTGGATCATTATGGATCCCCATTAGTTCCTGCCAAGGCAGCAGCTACCCTCTTCCTGGGGTTTAGTATGGGATCCCCGATTAGTTCCTGCCAAAGGCAAGCAGAGTACTCTTCCTGGGGTTTATTATGGATCCCCATTTAGTTCCTGCCAAGGCAGCAGTTACTCTTCCTGGGGTTTATTATGGATCCCCATTAGTTCCTGCCAAGGCAGCAGCTACTCTTCCTGGGGTTTATTATGGATCCCCATTAGTTCCTGCCAAGGCAGCAGCTACTCTTCATAGATGACCAGCAGGGTAAAATAATAATCACAGTGGTTGTAGTCCTGTGTAGCTCAGTTGGTAGAGCATGGCGCTTGCAACGCCAGGGTTGTGGGTTCGATTCCCACGGGGGACCAGTATGAAAAATAAATAAATAATTGCACTCACTAACTGTAAGTCGGTCTGGATAAGAGCGTCTGCTAAATGACTAAAATGTCAAATGTAGAGGTTGCAACAGGTCAGTACCTCAGGAGTAAATGTCACTTGGCTTTTCATAGCCGGGCATTTAGAGGTTGAAATAGCAGGTGCGGTAGAGAGAGAGAGTTGAAAACAGCAGTTCTGGGACAAGGTAGCACGTCTGGTGAACAGGTCAGGGTTCCATAGTCGCAGGCAGAAGAGTGGAAACTGGAGCAGCAGCACGACCAGGTGGACTGGGGACAGCCAGGAGTCATCAGGCCAGGTAGTCCTGAGGCATGGTCCTAGGGTTCAGGTCCTCCGGGAGGGGGAGAGAGAGAGAGAGGGAGAATTAGAGGGAGCATACTTAAATTCATACAGGACACCAGATAAGACAGGAGAATAACACCAGATATAACAGACTGACCCCAGCCCCCCGGCACATAGACTATTGCAGCATAGATACTGGAGTCAAGGCAGCATCTAGTCTTCCTGGGGTTTATTATGGATCCCCATTAGTTCCTGCCAAGGCAGCAGCTACTGTACTTGGTCCAACAAAATGAAGGCAGTTATATACAATTACAACCGATTTCACAACACATTAAGTGTGTTCCCTCAGGCCACTACTCTATCACATATCTATCCTTGTGTACGTGTCTTATGTGTGTCTGTGTCTGTGTGTGTGTCTCTTCACAGTCCCGGCTGTTCCATAAGGTGTAGTTTTATCTGGTTTAAAAAAATATATCTGATTCTACTGCTTGAATGAGTTGATGTGGAATAGAGTTCCCTGTAGTCATGGCTCTATGTAGTACTGTGTGCCTCCCATAGTCTGTTCTGGACTTGGGGACTGTGAAGAGACCTCTGGTGGCATGTCTTGTGGGGTATGCATGGGTGTCCGAGCTGTGTGCCAGTAGTTTAAACAGACAGCTCAGTGCATTCAGCATGTCAAATACTTCTCACAAATACAAGTAGTGCTGAAGTGAATCTCTCCTCCACTTTGAGCCAGGAGAGATTGACATGCATATTAATAATGTTAGCTCTCCGTGTAATTTAAGGGCCAGCCATGCTGCCCTGTTCTGGGCCAATTGTAATTTCCCAAGTCCCTCTTTGTGGCACCTGACCACACGACTGGACAGTAATCCAGGTGCAACAAAACTAGGGCCTGTAGGACCTGCCTTGTTGATAGCAATGTCCAGAAAGCAGAGCAGCGCTTTTATTATGGACGTCTTAGCTACTGTTTCATCAATATGTTTTGACAATTACATTTTACAATCCAGGGTTACTCCATGCAGTTTAGTCTCCTCAGCTTGCTCAAATTCCACATTATTCATTACAGGATTTAGTTGAGGTTTAGTGAATGATTGGTGCCAAATACAATGCTTTTAGTTTTTTAAATATTTAGGACCAGCTTATTTCTTGCCACCCATTCTTAAACTGACTGCAGCTCTTTAAGTGTTGCAGTGATTTCACTTGCTATGGTAGCTGACGTGTATAATATTGAGTCATCAGCATACATAGACACACAGGCTTTACTCAGAGCCAGTGGCAGGTCATTAGTAAAGATTGAAAAAAGTAAGGGGCCTAGACAGCTGCCCTGGGGAATGCCTGACTCTACCTGGATTTTGTTGGAGAGGCTTGGAGAGGCTTCCATTAAAGAACACCCTCTGTGTTCTGTTAGACCAGTAGCTCTCGATCCACATTATAGCAGGGGATGTAAAGCCATAACACATACGTTTTTCCAGCAGCAGATTATGATCGATAATGTCAGAAGCTGCACTGAAGACTAACAGAACAGCTCCCACAATCTTTTTATCATCAATTTCTCTCAGCCAGTCATCAGTCAGTGTTGTGCTTGTTGAATGTCCTTCCCTATTATCGTGCTGAAGTCTGTTAACTTGCTTACTGTGAAATAGCATTGTATCTGGTCCCCCAAAGAAATGGCCCCTTTACTAAGGGTTGGTAACAGGCTGATTGGTTGGCTGTTTGAGAAGCCGGGTAAAGGTTTGCTTTGCTATCTTTGGTGTTGGAATTACTTTGTTCCCTAGTAGGCACAATTGCAGGCTTAGATTGAAGATACATGGAAAAAGTATTATCGCCACCATGTGCAAGTTCTCCACCAAGATGAGAGGCATTTCATCATTGTTCAACTATGACAGCAGGCATTGTGATTTTTATAATTAGCAATTATGGTGGAAGATTTGGTCAATAACAAAAGTTTCTCAATACTTTGTTATATACCCTTTGTTGGCAATGACACAGGTCAAACGTTTTCTGTAAGTCTTCACACACTGTTGCTGGTATTTTGGCCCATTCCTCCATGCAGATCTCCTCTAGAGCAGTGATGTTTTGGGGCTGTCGCTGGGCAACACGGACTTTCAACTCCCTCCAAAGATTTTCTATGCTGTTGAGATCTGGAGACTGGCTAGGCCACTCCAGGACCTTGAAATGCTTCTTACGAAGACACTCCTTCGTTGCCCGGGCGGTGTGTTTGGGATCATTGTCATGCTGAAAGACCCAGCCACATTTCATCTTCAATGCCCTTGCTGATGGAAGGAGGTTTTCACTCAAAATCTCGCGATACATGGCCCCATTCATTCTTTCCTTTACACGGATCAGTCGTCCTGGTCCCTTTGCAGAAAAACAGCCCCAAAGCATGATGTTTCCACCCCCATGCTTCACAGTAGGTATGGTGTTCTTTGGATGCAACTCAGCATTCTTTGTCCTCCAAACACGACGAGTTGAGTTTTTACCAAAAAGTTCTATTTTGGTTTCATCTGACCATATGACATTCTCCCAATCCTCTTCTGGATCATCCAAATGCACTCTAGCAAACTTCAGACGGGCCTGAACATGTACTGGCTTAAGCAGGGGGACACGTCTGGCACTGCAGGATTTGAGTCCCTGGCGGTGTAGTGTGTTACTGATGGTAGGCTTTGTTACTTTGGTCCCAGCTCTCTGCAGGTCATTCACTAGGTCCCCCCGTGTGGTTCTGGGATTTTTGCTCACCGTTCTTGTGATCATTTTGACCCCACGGGTTGAGAACTTGCGTGGAGCCCCAGATCGAGGGAGATTATCAGTGGTCTTGTATGTCTTCCATTTCCTAATAATTGCTCCCACAGTTGATTTCTTCAAACCAAGCTGCTTACCTATTGCAGATTCAGTATTCCCAGCCTGGTGCAGGTCTACAATTTTGTTTCTGGTGTCCTTTGACATTTCTTTGGTCTTGGCCATAGTGGAGTTTGGAGTGTGACTGTTTGAGGTTGTGGACAGGTGTCTTTTATACTGATAAGAAGTTCAAACAGGTGTCATTAATACAGGTAATGAGTGGAGGACAGAGGAGCCTCTTAAAGAAGAAGTTACAGGTCTGTGAGAGCCATGAATCTTGCTTGTTTGTAGGTGACCAAATACTTATTTTCCACCATAATTTGCAAATAAATTCATAAAAAATCCTACAATGTGATTTTCTGGATTTTTTTTTCTAATTTGTCTGTGATCGTTGACGTGTTACCTATGATGAAAATTACAGGCCTCTCTCATCTTTTTAAGTGGGAGAACTTGCACAATTGGTGGCTGACTAAATACTATTTTTCCCCACTGTATGGCAAATAGGAGTGGCAATATCGTCCGCTATCATCTTCAGTAATTTTCCATCCAAGATGTCAGACCCAGGTAGCTTTATCATTGTTGATAGACAACAATCATTTTTTTTTTTTCAGCTCTTCCACACTCACTTTAAGGATTTGTTTTATAATTTGGTCAGTTATGCATGGATGTGTAGGTTCAGAATTAGTTGTTGGCGTTGTCATGCCTGAATGTGCTAATCTTGCCGATGTTGCAGGAGTGCACCAATAAGTGCTGCGACGCGGCCACCTGTAAGTTGACCTGGGGATCGGCCTGCGCTCAGGGAAGCTGCTGCAAGGACTGCAAGGTTAGTCGGCTGCTGTCTGTCTTCTAAACTGTATGGATTAGGATGCTCCCAAACCGGACAGCAAATCAATGATTTTCAATTAGAGTCGTTTGTTGGGGGGGGGGGAGGGCCTATAGGATTGTGTTGCGCTGTTTGTCAGAAATGTTTGGGAGGTTTCAACTTTTTAATGCAATGATGGATCCGTCAACCGATTTTTGAAAAATGATTAATAACGTTTCTCCGGCCTAATTTCTCTCCAATTTCAGATCAGCGTGTCAGGGACACCGTGCAGGGGATCTGTCAACACATGTGACCTCCCAGAATACTGCAACGGCTCCACAGCCTTCTGTCCCTCTGACTTCTATATCATGGACGGGCTTCCCTGTGAGAATGACGCAGCGTACTGTTACGAGGGCCGCTGCCAGACCTACGACTACCAATGCAAATTTCTCTTTGAAGAAGGTAGGCTATTGTACAAAATGAACACCGGTATATCTGACATGACTGCATTGGCCTTTTTTAAACGAACAAGAAAGTACTGTCACCTTGTGTCTGGCAGTTAATACTTTTATTTCTTAGTCTGAAATGTATATCTTTTGATTATTTTATTTCCAGGTGCAAGAAAGGCAGCAGATGTCTGCTTTCAGACTGCTAATCTAAAGGGGGATACGTTTGGGAACTGTGGAAGGACATCGTCAGGGACCTATGTGAAATGTAGCTTGGCGTAAGTGCTCAGAATTTGTTATCAGCATTCATAATTAAAAGTAAGATAAGAAATATTTTATTTATTTTGTCTTAGTGAATTTATATTTGTCATATTGTATAGGAAAACGGTCTGAGTATAGAAAACAGAAACGGGCTGAGTATAGGAACAGAAACAGAAACGGGCTGAGTATAGGAACAGAAACGGGCTGAGTATAGGAACAGAAACGGGCTGAGTATAGGAACAGAAACGAAACGGGCTGAGTGTAGGAACAGAAACGGGCTGAGTATAGGAACAGAAATGGGCTGAGTATAGGAACAGAAACGGGCTGAGTATAGGAACAGAAACAGAAACGGGCTGAGTGTAGGAACAGAAACAGAAACGGGCTGAGTATAGGAACAGAAACGGGCTGAGTATAGGAACAGAAACAGAAACGGGCTGAGTGTAGGAACAGAAACGGGCTGAGTATAGGAACAGAAACGGGCTGAGTATAGGAACAGAAACGGGCTGAGTATAGGAACAGAAACAGAAACGGGCTGAGTGTAGGAACAGAAACAGAAACGGGCTGAGTATAGAAAACAGAAACGGGCTGAGTGTAGGAACAGAAACAGAAACGGGCTGAGTATAGAAAACAGAAATGGGCTGAGTATAGGAACAGAAACAGAAACGGGCTGAGTGTAGGAACAGAAACAGAAACGGGCTGAGTATAGGAACAGAAACGGGCTGAGTATAGGAAACGGGCTGAGTATAGGAACAGAAACGGGCTGAGTATAGGAACAGAAACGGGCTGAGTATAGGAAACGGGCTGAGTATAGGAAACAGAAACGGGCTGAATATGTAAACGGGCTGAGTATAGAAACGGCCTGAGTATAGAAACAGACTGAGTAAGAAACAGAAACGGGCTGAATATGTAAACGGGCTGAGTATAGGAACGGCCTGAGTATAGAAACAGAAACGGGCTGAGAATAGAAACGGGCTGAGTATTGAACCAGAAACGGGCTGAGTATAGAACCAGAAACGGGCTGAGTATAGGAATTGAGTATAGAACCAGAAACGGGCTGAGTATAGAAACAGAAACAGGCTGAGTATAGAACCAGAAACGGGCTGAGTATAGGAATTGAGTATAGAACCAGAAACGGGCTGAGTATAGAACCAGAAACGGGCTGAGTATAGAACCAGAAACGGGCTGAGTATAGAACCAGAAACGGGCTGAGTATAGAACCAGAAACGGGCTGAGTATAGAACCAGAAACGGGCTGAGTATAGAACCAGAACCAGACTGAGTATAGAGTTACTGCTGATGCCGTCCCTGTCTCCCTGCAGTAATGCCATGTGTGGGAAGGTGCAGTGCACTAATGTAGACACCAACAAGCCCCCTCCTGGAGGCTCCGTCAGTAACCAGATTATAGATGGCTCGTCATGTGTCAACGCAGACTTTAACCTTGGCACTGATGTTCTGGACCCTGCCTATGTCCACCGGGGCAGCCCCTGTGCCAAGGGAATGGTAAGGCTTATGGGTCATTTTGGTTTTGGGGTCCCTTTTCCATCTTTCCATTTGACATTTTAGTCATTTAGCAGACACTCTTATCCAGAGCGACTTACAGGAGCAATTAGGGTTAAGTGCCTTGCTCAAGGGCACATCGACAGATTTTTCACCTAGTCGGCTCAGGGATTAGAACCAGCGACCTTTCGGTTACTGGCACAACGCTCTAAACCACTAAGCTACCTGCCTACCTATCTTTCTAAGATGATTTCACTTCTTCCACAGGGTGTGTGTGTGTGTTGAGGCATTAGGAGTACAGTAATGCTTTGTAGACATTGCTATGGGACATTTGATTGAATCCAGAGATAAAACCCAGTACTCATCTCTTTTTTCTTCCAGGCCTGTATTGACTTCCAGTGTGTGAATGCCTCAGCTCTACTGCCTGTGAACCTCCACTGTGATGCCAAGAACACATGTAACAGTCGGGGGGTAAGATAAGATGTCGTCCTCTAGAAGGGGTTGGACATATCCCATGTTACAGGCTCTCTGATGGCCTCTTCTGGGGAGAGATATCGTCTTCTAGAAGGGGTTGGACACTATCTGATGGCCTCTTCTGGGGAGAGATCTCGTCCTCTAGAAGGGGTTGGACACATCACATGTTGCAGGCTCTCTGATGGCCTCTTCTGGGGAGAGATCTCGTCCTCTAGAAGGGGTTGGACACATCACATGTTGCAGGCTATCTGATGGCCTCTTCTGGGGAGAGATCTCGTCCTCTAGAAAGGGTTGGACACATCACATGTTGCAGGCTATCTGATGGCCTCTTCTGGGGAGAGATCTCAGTGTCTATTGTATTGGTTGGTTGATTGGTTGATTAATTAATTGATTGATTGGTTGATATATCTTCCCCAGGTGTGTAATAACAAGGGGAACTGCCACTGTATTGACGGCTGGGGACCTCCTTACTGTGCCAAGTCCGGGAGAGGGGGCAGTGTGGACAGCGGCCCTGCTCAGATAGGTACTGTTCACTGAACACCTTTCCCATCTCTACCTGCCATTATAGATAGGTACTGTTCACTGAACACCTTTCCCATCTCTACCTGCCATTATAGATAGGTACTGTACACCTTTCCCATCTCTACCTGCCATTATAGATTGTTACTACCGCTGTCTGATATATTATAGCTTAATTGATTGGCTTTCAAGTGTAGTAGAGTGTCTTTTAAAGTGGATCCCTCATGATCAGTCCTGTCTGCTGGTCTATTTGGTAAGGTGTTTTACCTCGCCCTGTGCACCGATTGGGTTTGCAGTTCAGGCATGTCTCAAATGTGCAAACTCCTCACACTGCACAGAGTGAGCTGAATGGACTGCACCTGTGTGTGATGCGTGCTGTCAGGGGAGTTGGGGCAGAAGACGCATTTGTTGTAACATGGACAACAAAGTTGTATTGTTCTCTTCACTAATAACTGTTCCCAGATCACTCCCTGTGGGACGGCCTGCTGATCTTCACTAATAACTATCCCTCTGCTGTTCCCAGATCACTCCCTGGGGGACGGCCTGCTGATCTTCACTAATAACTATCCCTCTGCTGTTCCCAGATCACTCCCTGGGGGACGGCCTGCTGATCTTCACTAATAACTATCCCTCTGCTGTTCCCAGATCACTCCCTGGGGGACGGCCTGCTGATCTTCACTAATAACTATCCCTCTGCTGTTCCCAGATCACTCCCTGGGGGACGGCCTGCTGATCTTCACTAATAACTATCCCTCTGCTGTTCCCAGATCACTCCCTGAGGGACGGCCTGCTGATCTTCACTAATAACTATCCCTCTGCTGTTCCCAGATCACTCCCTGAGGGACGGCCTGCTGATCTTCACTAATAACTATCCCTCTGCTGTTCCCAGATCACTCCCTGTGGGACGGCCTGCTGATCTTCACTAATAACTATCCCTCTGCTGTTCCCAGATCACTCCCTGAGGGACGGCCTGCTGATCTGCACTAATAACTATCCCTCTGCTGTTCCCAGATCACTCCCTGAGGGACGGCCTGCTGATCTGCACTAATAACTATCCCTCTGCTGTTCCCAGATCACTCCCTGAGGGACGGCCTGCTGATCTTCACTAATAACTATCCCTCTGCTGTTCCCAGATCACTCCCTGAGGGACGGCCTGCTGATCTTCACTAATAACTATCCCTCTGCTGTTCCCAGATCACTCCCTGAGGGACGGCCTGCTGATCTTCACTAATAACTATCCCTCTGCTGTTCCCAGATCACTCCCTGAGGGACGGCCTGCTGATCTTCACTAATAACTATCCCTCTGCTGTTCCCAGATCACTCCCTGAGGGACGGCCTGCTGATCTTCACTAATAACTATCCCTCTGCTGTTCCCAGATCACTCCCTGGGGGACGGCCTGCTGATCTTCACTAACCCTCTGCTGTTCCCAGATCACTCCCTGAGGGACGGCCTGCTGATCTTCACTAATAACTATCCCTCTGCTGTTCCCAGATCACTCCCTGAGGGACGGCCTGCTGATCTTCACTAATAACTATCCCTCTGCTGTTCCCAGATCACTCCCTGAGGGACGGCCTGCTGATCTTCTTTCTGCTGGTGGTTCCCATCCTGGTGCTCCTGGTGTTGGTGCTGCTCTATGTGTTTAGAAGGGATACCCTGGAACGATGCCTCAAAGGACTGCGCTCAACATGCTCGAGGTAAACCCAGTCATGTGTATAAACAATGTTTGTCTATAACCACGTTTCCATCCACAGTTTGTGAGTAAAGTCAGCTGTGATGGAAACAGGACGTTGCGGTGACATGGTATAAATGCTAGCAGATCATGTGTTTGTTCGACAATGGTGGGATCCTTTTGGATTGATCATATTATTTATGCGAGAAATGGCGACAGAAACACCTTTTTATGTGCAAATATTGATATAATAACCATTATATCGAAGTAAACTTGGGGTCACGCGATGATATGGTGTGTGGTCCTCCCACTGCGACTCAGGAAACCAGGCAGTTTATTAGGCTACAGATTAAATAAGTTATGATGAACTTCACAGGGTGGTGAAAGTTGCACGGTGATGATCCTTTCCAATAAATATCCAGGGTCTTCTTCTGGTGACATGATGCTCGACTGCCAAAAAAAATCTAAGGTCTTATTCTGGTGACATGATGATCGATGCTCGACTGCCGTTTGACAAACACAAATACTCTCTCTCTTAGCCATAATAATCTCATCATGTAGACTAACCTACTCTATCTGAGAGCTGTTGAGCGGTTGGCTGGAGCTCAGACTAACCTACTCTATCTGAGAGCTGTTGAGCGGTTGGCTGGAGCTCAGACTAACCTACTCTATCTGAGAGCTGTTGAGCGGTTGGCTGGAGCTCAGACTAACCTACTCTATCTGAGAGCTGTTGAGCGGTTGGCTGGAGCTCAGACTAACCTACTCTATCTGAGAGCTGTTGAGCGGTTGGCTGGAGCTCGCGTGCCAAGACCAGAGTGGGCACATTTGCTATTTTAACGCAAACAGTTGTGAAAAAAAACTATTGGTCGAGTTAAAAATGCAAACGGAAACATATTGAACTTTAGATTGTTATTCGGTACACGAATACTTAAGCAAAGAAGAACATTTCGTGTGCACTTCACGCACTTTTTTTTATCCGCAACAAGTCAGTTTGGTGGAAACACACCACTGGTGGGAAAATGTGCATATTTTCTTTATGCGGATTCTAGAGTATTCGCATGAAAATCTATTGCTAATTGGATGGACACCTAGCTATAGACGCCTAGCCTAGCTATAGACACCTAGCCTAGCTATAGACGCCTAGCCTAGCTATAGACGCCAAGCCTCGCTATAGACGCCTAGCCTAGCTATAGACGCCTAGCCTAGCTATAGACGCCTAGCTATAGAAGCCTAGCCTCGCTATAGACACCTAGCCTAGCTATAGACGCCTAGCCTCGCTATAGACGCCTAGCCTAGCTATAGACGCCTAGCCTAGCTATAGACGCCTAGCCTAGCTATAGACGCCTAGCCTAGCTATAGACGCCTAGCCTCGCTATAGACGCCTAGCCTCGCTATAGACGCCTAGCCTAGCTATAGACGCCTAGCCTCGCTATAGACGCCTTGCCTCGCTATAGACGCCTAGCCTAGCTATAGACGCCTAGCCTAGCTATAGACGCCTAGCCTAGCTATAGACGCCTAGCCTAGCTATAGACGCCTAGCCTAGCTATAGACGCCTAGCCTCGCTATAGACGCCTAGCCTAGCTATAGACGCCTAGCCTAGCTATAGACGCCTAGCCTAGCTATAGACGCCTAGCCTAGCTATAGACGCCTAGCCTAGCTATAGACGCCTAGCCTAGCTATAGACGCCTTGCCTCGCTATAGATGCCTTGCCTCGCTATAGACGCCTTGCCTCGCTATAGACGCCTAGCCTCGCTATAGACGCCTAGCTATAGACGCCTAGCCTCGCTATAGACGCCTAGCTATAGACGCCTTGCCTCGCTATAGACGCCTAGCCTAGCTATAGACGCCTAGCCTCGCTATAGATGCCTAGCCTAGCTATAGACGCCTAGCTATAGACGCCTTGCCTCGCTATAGACGCCTAGCCTAGCTATAGACGCCTAGCCTAGCTATAGACGCCTAGCCTAGCTATAGACGCCTAGCCTAGCTATAGACGCCTAGCCTAGCTATAGACGCCTTGCCTCGCTATAGATGCCTTGCCTCGCTATAGACGCCTTGCCTCGCTATAGACGCCTAGCCTCGCTATAGACGCCTAGCTATAGACGCCTAGCCTAGCTATAGACGCCTAGCCTCGCTATAGACGCCTAGCCTAGCTATAGACGCCTAGCCTAGCTATAGACGCCTAGCCTCGCTATAGACGCCTAGCTATAGACGCCTAGCCTCGCTATAGACGCCTAGCCTAGCTATAGACGCCTAGCCTAGCTATAGAAGCCTAGCCTAGCTATAGACGCCTAGCCTCGCTATAGATGCCTAGCCTAGCTATAGACGCCTAGCTATAGACGCCTAGCCTAGCTATAGATGCCTAGCCTAGCTATAGACGCCTAGCTATAGACGCCTAGCCTAGCTATAGACGCCTAGCCTCGCTATAGACGCCTAGCCTCGCTATAGACGCCTAGCCTCGCTATAGATGCCTAGCCTAGCTATAGACGCCTAGCTATAGACGCCTAGCCTAGCTATAGACGCCTAGCCTCGCTATAGACGCCTAGCCTCGCTATAGACGCCTAGCCTCGCTATAGATGCCTAGCCTAGCTATAGACGCCTAGCTATAGACGCCTAGCCTAGCTATAGACGCCTAGCCTCGCTATAGACGCCTTGCCTCGCTATAGAAGCCTAGCCTCGCTATAGACGCCTAGCCTCGCTATAGACGCCTAGCCTCGCTATAGACGCCTAGCCTCGCTATAGACGCCTAGCCTAGCTATAGACGCCTAGCCTCGCTATAGATGCCTAGCCTAGCTATAGACGCCTAGCCTAGCTATAGATGCCTTGCCTCGCTATAGACGCCTTGCCTCGCTATAGACGCCTAGCCTCGCTATAGACGCCTAGCCTAGCTATAGACGCCTAGCCTAGCTATAGATGCCTAGCCTAGCTATAGACGCCTAGCCTCGCTATAGACGCCTAGCCTCGCTATAGACGCCTAGCCTAGCTATAGACGCCTAGCCTAGCTAGACCGCCTAGCTATAGACGCCTAGCCTGCTAAACGCCGCTCGCTATAGACGCCTTGCCTCGCTATAGACGACCTAGCCTAGCTATAGACTCCTAGCCTCGCTATAGACGCCTAGCCTAGCTATAGACGCCTAGCCTAGCTATAGACGCCTAGCCTCGCTATAGACGCCTAGCCTAGCTATAGACGCCTAGCCTAGCTATAGACGCCTAGCCTAGCTATAGACTCCTAGCCTAGCTATAGACGCTTAGCCTAGCTATAGACTCCTAGCCTAGCTATAGACGCCTAGCCTAGCTATAGACTCCTAGCCTAGCTATAGACGCTTAGCCTAGCTATAGACGCCAAGCTTATGAGTAAACCAACAAAAAAAAGTGACAAACTGGGTACATCTCATCACAAAACCGTACAAACCTAGTTTGTGGCATTTCTTTGATTCGTTCAACAGGTTGTGTGACATAGAAATTGTATGAGATTAAAAGCATGTATTATGTAAAACTGGGTAACTTTCTCCCGGTCACAGCTGTTGCTTTTCACATGATGATGTCTAATGTCCGCAGGTCAAAGAACACAGCGAATGGCCATGTCCCAAGACGAGCAACTCCACAGGCCCCAGCAACACAGGCCCCACCCCGTCAGGTAAACAGTTTTCCCAGCAACACAGGCCCCACCCCGTCAGGTAAACAGTTCCACTGCATGTACAGTGGGATCTGATATTGACACCCTTGATAAAGATGAGCAAAAATGACTGAAATAAATCATTAAAATACTGAGCTATAAAAAAAATTGAAATGATTATTTAATACATAATTCTCAAAACGTTAAAGGTCAAAATTGACACCCCTGTTTTCAATACCTGACCTTGCAAGGATAACAGAACTGAGCCTTTTTCTAAAATGTTTAATGAGTTGGAGAACACATTGGGAGGGATCTTAGACCATTCCTCCATACAGAACGCTTCCAGATCCTTGATATCCTTTGTCTGCGCTTATGGACTATAATAATAATAATAATAATATGCCATTTAGCAGACGCTTTTATCCAAAGCTACTTACAGCCATGTGTGCATACATTTTTACGTATGGGTGGTCCCGGGGATCGAACCCACTACCCTGGCGTTACAAGCGCCATGCTCTACCAATTGAGCTACAGAGGACTACCCTCATCAATTCAAACCACAGGTTTTCAGTCCGGAGACTGAGATGGCCATTGCAAAATGTTGATTATGTAGCCGAATAACAATTTATTTGTGGATTTTGATGTGTGCTTGGGGTTATAGTCTTGCTGGAAGATCCACTTGCGGCCAAGTTTCAGCCTTCTCACAGAGGCAACCAGGTTTTGGGCTAAAATGTCTTGGTACTGGGTAAAGTTCATGATGCCGTTGACCTTAACAAAGGCTCCAGGACCAGTGGAAGCAAAACAGCCCCAAAACATCAAAGCTCCACCGCCATATTTTACAGTAGGTATAGGGTTATTTTCTGCTCATGCATTCTCATTTCAAAACGCCAAACCCACCACTGGCGTTCGTGGCCAAAGAGCTCTATTTTGATGTCACGGCGTTGGCACTTGAATTGGAACTGGCGCTTTGGTCAGATGACATGAAAATAGAGCTCTTTGGCACCACCATGGGACTGGGCTATGTCTCCCGAGTGGCGCAGTGGTCTAAGGCGCTGCATCGCAGTGCTAGCTGTGCCACTAGAGATCCTGGTTCGAATCCAGGCTCTGTCGTAGCCGGCCGCGACCGGGAGACCCATGGGGCGGCGCACAATTGTCCCAGCGTCGTCCAGGGTAGGGGAGGGAATGGCCGGTAGGGATGTAGCTCAGTTGGTAGAGCATGGCATTTGCAACGCCAGGGTTGTGGGTTCATTTCCCACAGGGGGCTAGTATGATTTATTTATTTATTTAAATAACAATAAAATAAATAATGAATGCACTCACTAACTGTAAGTCGCTCTGGATAAGAGCGTCTGCTAAATGACTAAAATGTAAAATGTGATGTAAATGGGAATATATAGCTCAATATTTTAAATGATTTATTTTATAGTCATTTTTGCTCATCTTTATCAAGGGGGTCAATAATTTCAGACCACACTGTCTTTGTTAAGTGGAACAGAATACAGAGCTGAGCAGGTTTTTTCCATCAACTGCCATCGTGGTAAAAATGTGCAGGGAAGTCATCCTTTGCAGGGGATTAAACCCAAAGCCTCAAACATGTCTGGTTAGACCTTTTCTTTCACTAGCCTGGCCATGTCTGGCGATGACCAATGGGAGTGGGCGATAGCCTGGCCATGTCTGGTGATGACCAATGGGAGTGGGCGATACGACACAAACAGATCTAGGACCTGATTTATTCATCATTTATATGTTGTAGTAATTCTGCGCTCTTCATATCTGTTTCCAGCCAATGCCTGCACATCCGCCATCAGCTACCTCAGGTCCCAGGTATTAATGCTTTATCATAGCATATTTTGACTTTCATTTGGGGGGAAAAAAGTGTCATTGCATATGCCTTAGTTGTATTTGCTTTTATGTTTATTTTGTTTTAATGTGTCACTTTTAGGTTTGGAGAAAACTATCGGAACAAACCTCCTGCCACCCAGCCACCTCTCCCCCAGCAAGGACCAGGGGTTCCCAAACCCATCCCTCCCTCCCAAATACCCTGACAGAAACACCCCTTTGGACATAACACGGCTTTAACCTTATTCCTTATTGTAAATTGCATACATTGTATGTTCGTTTGTGGATATCTCAATTTTTTAAAATAATTTTATTGCAGGAACATAATTTGGTGACAGGGACTTAAGATATTCCTTTTTATATTGTACTATGGAAATGAAGGTAACATTTTGTAATAAAAATATACATATTGTTGATATTAAGTTTCAATAAGGCTCAAAATGTAATTTTATGAGCCGTTACAATATTTGTTTATATTTAAATGTGTTGCTTTAAATGTTACTCATAATAAATATATTGACTATAAGATTTCTCTCCTTATTTTCCTTTGTATTATTAGGCCTACCTTTCATTCCGAGGTACAGTAGAATATTATCCGAGTTTCTAAACCCAGGCGCAACATCGCGAGACAGACCAGGCCGGGATTTGAGAAGTCCCCCCCAAAAAAAATGGTCACATGCTTTGTAGACAACAGGTGTAGACTAACAGTGAAATGCTTCCTGGACACAATGCAGAGTTGGACACACCTACAGTCAAACGTTTGGACACACCTCCTCATTCCAGGGTTTTTCTTTATTTTTTTTTACTATTTTCTACATTGTAGAATAATAGTGAAGACATCAAAACTATGAAATAACACATATTGAATCATGTAGTAACCAAAAAAAGTGTTGTAGTGTCTGAAGGTCTATTGATTTTGCTGATGTTTGCAAATGGTGTAATAGATGAACTTTACTCTGCTTTGCTGAAGCATTTGGAAAAGCATTGCTACATAGGTTTCTTGGAATAGAGGACATTTGGAGATATGTGAAAGCCGGGGATTGGTTGATTAAAATCACGCCATATTATGTTACATAGGATATAAATACCAGGCTCTGAACAAAGGGAGGGGGAGAGACAACATATTGGATCAACAGATTGGCCGTTTCTCTCCAGATATAACTGCAGATATCTGTAAATTAATACTGTGAACTTTGATACAATAAATCTTTATAATCAAAGAACAGTGTAAGCGGACTTCTTATCATCACAGCATAATTAGCAACGTTGACTTGGACACCACAGTGTTAAACAAATCAAAATATATTTTATATTTGAGATTCTTCAAAGTAGCCACCCTTTGCCTTGATGACAGCTTTGCACACTCTTGGCATTCTCTCAACCAGCTTCACCTGGAATGCTTTTCCAACAGTCTTGAAGGAGTTCCCACATATGCTGAGCACTTGTTGGCTGCTTTTCCTTCACTCTGTGGTCCGACTCATCCCAAACCATCTCAATTTGGTTGAGGTCTGGGGATTGTGGAGGCCAGGTCATATGATGCAGCACTCCATCGCTCTCCTTCTTGGTAAAATAGCCCTTACACAGCCCGGAGGTGTGTTGGGTCATTGTCCTGTTGAAAAACAAACAATAGTCCCCCTGAGCCCAAACCAGATGGGATGGCGTATCGCTGCAGAATGCTGTGGTAGCCATGCTGGTTAAGTCTACCATGAATTCTAAATTAATCTTATGGATGATTTTCAAGTACATATGTTGTAGAATTAAACACCTATATGCCTTAAAATGTTTATGGATTGAGAACCAGTTGAAGGGTTAATACAGAGCAGAGACATGTATGTGTTTTTCATAAACTCCCTGCAGCTGGTCTGGTTATGTCAATGACGTGTGACGTAGATACAACTCCTCGTGATGGCTGTGTGGAGATTGGAGTAACAATGGAACTAGTGTTATCATTTCTTTGTGCTTATGACCTTATGACCTGACACATGGCCACATGCACATAATTTTTTATTTGTAATTATTTTTTTTTATTTTTTATTTTTTATTTTTTTTCACCTTTATTTAACCAGGTAAACCAGTTGAGAACAAGTTCTCATTTACAACTGCGACCTGGCCAAGACAAAGCAAAGCAGTGCGATAAAAACAACAACACAGAGTTACATATGGGGTAAAACAAACAAAGTCAAAAATACAACAGAAATACATATATATACAGTGTGTGCAAATGTAGCAAGTTATGGAGGTAAGGCAATAAATAGGCTATAGTGCAAAATAATTACAATTAGTATTAACACTGGAATGATAGATGTGCAAGAGATGATGTGCAAATAGAGATACTGGGGTACAAATGAGCAAAATAAATAACAATATAGGGATGAGGTAGTTGGGCGGGAGGATGATAAATGTTTAAATGTATGTGGTTGAGAATGGGTTATGGATGACATGTTTAAATCATGTTTAAGTATTAATGGATATGTTTTATAATGTGTTATGAAATGATAATGATGAAACAGAAGGAACATAATTGATACTTTGTACTCCAGATGCATGCCTAGATAGTGAATATAGTCAATACAGAGTGTGATTGTTCTTTAACGTACGTATGTACATAATTTTTTGAGTCATGCCACTAATAAGATACAGAGGCCCCACTTAGAGAAGCGCAAGTAGCCCTCGTGAGTAGCCAACATGTGATACTGAAAGATGCTATTCATTCACATAGGGAGGAACTATCAGCTGTATCAGTGTGGCTATGCATGTGTCTGTATAAAAAGGAGAGCTCCGGTTCAGGACAAGCAGTTGTTGCTCCATGGAGCAAGCTCGGCTTTGTTATGCAAATAATAAAAGTCTAAATTCACAAGTTCCAGTCTCTTGAGAAATATTTTTAAGTTGACTACTTTTTGAGTCAAAAAATATTTCTACAACAATCTCAGACGGTGTCACCAGCAAAGCACCCCCACACCATAACACCACCTCCTCCATGCTTTACGGTGGGAACTACACATGCAGAGATAATCCGTTCACCCACACCGCGTCTCACAAAGACACAGCGGTTTGAACCAAAAATCTCAAATTTGGACTCCAGACCAAAGGACAGATTTGCACTGGTCTAATGTCCATTGCTTGTGTTTCTTGGCCCAAGCAAGTCTCTTCTTATTGGTGTCCTTTAGTAGTGGTTTCTTTGCAGCAATTTGACTATGAAGGTCTGATTCACACAGTTTCCTCTGAACAGTTGATGTTGATGTGTCTGTTACTTGAACTCTGAAGCATTTATTTGGGCTGCAATTTCTGAGGCTGGTAACTCTAATGAACTTATCCTTTGCAGCAGAGGTAACTCTGGGTCTTCCTTTCCTGTGGCGGTCCTCATGAGAACCAGTTTCATCATAGTGCTTGATGGTTTTTGCAACTGCACTTGAAAAAACTTTCAAAGTTCTTGCAATGTTCCGGATTGACTGACCTTCATGTCTTTAAAGTAATGATGTACTGTCGTTTCTCTTTGCTTATTTGAGCTGTTCTTGCCATAATATGGACATGGTCTTTTACCAAATAGGGCTATCTTCTGTATACTACTTTGTCACAACACAACTGATTGGCTCAAGCACATTAAGAAGGAAAGAAATTCCACAAATTAACTTTTAACAAGACACACCTGTTAATTGAAATCCATTCCAGGTGACTACCTCATGAAGCTGGTTGAGAGTGTGCAAATCTGTCATCAAGGCAAAGGGTGGCTATTTGAAGAATGTCAAAAACAAATCAAAATATATTTTATATAACACTTCTTTGGTTACTACATGATTCCATATATGTTATTTCATAGTTTTGATGTCTTCACTATTATTCCACAATGTAGAAAATAGAAAAAATAAAGAAACCCTTTGAATGAGGAGGTGTGACTGGACTAGAATATAACATGGCTAAATATTATTTTCTTTGATTTCTATATATAGTTGAAGTCGGAAGTTTACATACACCTTAGCCAAATACATTTAAACTCAGTTTTTCACAATTCCTGACATTTAATCCTAGTAAAAATTCCCTGTTTTAGGACAGTTAGTATACACACACATACTGTGAGGGAAAAAAGTATTTGATCCCCTGCTGATTTTGTACGTTTGCCCACTGACAAAGACATGATCAGTCTATAATTTTAATGGTAGGTTTATTTGAACAGTGAGAGACAGAATAACAAAAACAATATCCAGAAAAACGCATGTCAAAAATGTTATGAATTGATTTGCATTTTAATGAAGGAAATAAGTATTTGACCCCTCTGCAAAACATGACTTAGTACTTGGTGGCAAAACCCTTGTTGGCAATCACAGAGGTCAGACGTTTCTTGTAGTTGGCCACCAGGTTTGCACACATCTCAGGAGGGATTTTGTCCCACTCCTCTTTGCAGATCTTCTCCAAGTCATTAAGGTTTCGAGGCTGACGTTTGGCAACTCGAACCTTCAGCTCCCTCCACAGATTTTCTATGGGATTAAGGTCTGGAGACTGGCTAGGCCACTCCAGGACCTTAATGTGCTTCTTCTTGAGCCACTCCTTTGTTGCCTTGGCCGTGTGTTTTGGGTCATTGTCATGCTGGAATACCCATCCACGACCCATTTTCAATGCCCTGGCTGAGGGAAGGAGGTTCTCACCCTAGATTTGACGGTACATGGCGCCGTCCATCGTCCCTTTGATGCGGTGAAGTTGTCCTGTCCCCTTAGCAGAAAAACACCCCCAAAGCATAATGTTTCCACCATGTTTGGCGGTGGTTGATGGTGTTCTTGGGGTCATAGGCAGCATTCCTCCTCCTCCAAACACGGCGAGTTGAGTTGATGCCAAAGAGCTCCATTTTGGTCTCATCTGACCACAACACTTTCACCCAGTTCTCCTCTGAATCATTCAGATGTTCATTGGCAAACTTCAGACAGCCCTGTATATGTGCTTTCTTGAGCAGGGGGACCTTGCGGGCGCTGCAGGATTTCAGTCCTTCAAGGTGTAGTGTGTTACCAATTGTGTTCTTGGTGACTATGGTCCCAGCTGCCTTGAGATCATTGACAAGATCCTCCCATATAGTTCTGGGCTGATTCCTCACCGTTCTCATGATCATTGCAACTCCACGAGGTGAGATCTTGCATGGAGCCCCAGACCGAGGGAGATTGACAGTTCTTTTTCTGTTTCTTCCATTTGCGAATAATCGCACCAACTGTTGTCACCTTCTCACCAAGCTGCTTGGCGATGGTCTTGTAGCCCATTCCAGCCTTGTGTAGGTCTACAATCTTGTCCCTGACATCCTTGGAGAGCTCTTTGGTCTTGGCCATGGTGGAGAGTTTGGAATCTGATTGATTGATTGCTTCTGTGGACAGGTGTCTTTTATACAGGTAACAAACTGAGATTAGGAGCACTCCCTTCAAGAGTGTGCTCCTAATCTCAGCTCGTTACCTGTATAAAAGACACCTGGGAGCCAGAAATCTTTCTGATTGAGAGGGGGTCAAATACTTATTTCCCTCATTAAAATGCAAATCAATTTATAACATTTTTGACATGCGTTTTTCAAGATTATGTTGTTGTTATTCTGTCTCTCACTGTTCAAATAAACCTACCATTAAAATTATAGACTGATCATTTCTTTGTCAGTGGGCAAACGTACAAAATCAGCAGGGGATCAAATACCTTTTTCCCCACTGTACATACATACATACATACATATACACAGTTGAAGTCGGAAGTTTACATACACCTTAGCCAAATACAATTAAACTCAGTTTTTCACAATTCCTGACATTTAATCCTAGTAAAAATTCCCTGTCTCAGGTCAGTTAGGATCACCACTTTATTTTAAGAATGTGAAATGTCAGAATAATAGTAGAGAGTGATTTATTTCAGCTTTTATTTCTTTCATCACATAACATCAGACTGTTAAATAGTCACCACTTGCCGGCCTCCACCCAGTACCCTGCCCTGAACTTAGTCACTGTCACTAGCCGGCTACCACCCATACATAGACACACTTTAATAATGTTTACATACTGTTTTACTCATTTCATATGTATGTACTGGATTTTAGTCAATGCCACTCTGACATTGCTTTTCCTAATATTTATATATTTCTTAATTACCTGATTTTACTTTTAGATGTGTGTGTTGTTGTGAATTGTTAGATACTACTGCACTGTTGGAGCTAGGAACAAGCATTTCGCTACACCCGCAATAACATCTGTTAAATCTGTGACCAATAACATCTGTTAAACATGTGACCAATAACATCTGTTAAATATGTGACCAATAACATCTGTTAAACATGTGACCAATAACATCTGTTAAACATGTGACCAATAACATCTGTTAAACATGTGACCAATAACATCTGTTAAATATGTGACCAATAACATCTGTTAAATATGTGACCAATAACATCTGTTAAATATGTGTATGTGACCAATAACATCTGTTAAATATGTGACCAATAACATCTGTTAAATATGTGACCAATAACATCTGTTAAATATGTGACCAATAACATCTGTTAAATATGTGACCAATAACATCTGTTAAATATGTGACCAATAACATCTGTTAAATATGTGACCAATAACATCTGTTAAATATGTGTATGTGACCAATAACATCTGTTAAATATGTGTATGTGACCAATAACATCTGTTAAACATGTGACCAATAACATCTGTTAAACATGTGACCAATAACATCTGTTAAATATGTGTGTGACCAATAACATCTGTTAAACATGTGACCAATAACATCTGTTAAATATGTGTATGTGACCAATAACCTCTGTTAAATATGTGACCAATAACATCTGTTAAATATGTGACCAATAACATCTGTTAAATATGTGACCAATAACATCTGTTAAATATGTGACCAATAACATCTGTTAAATATGTGACCAATAACATGTGTTAAATATGTGACCAATAACATGTGTTAAATATGTGACCAATAACGTGTTAAATATGTGACCAATAACATGTGTTAAATATGTGACCAATAACATCTGTTAAATATGTGACCAATAACATCTGTTAAATATGTGACCAATAACATCTGTTAAATACACTGCTCAAAAAAATAAAGGGAACACTTAAACAACACAATGTAACTCCAAGTCAATCACACTTCTGTGAAATCAAACTGTCCACTTAGGAAGCAACACTGATTGACAATACATTTCACATGCTGTTGTGCAAATGGAATAGACAACAGGTGGAAATTATAGGCAATTAGCAAGACACCCCCAATAAAGGAGTGGTTCTGCAGGTGGTGACCACAGACCACTTCTCAGTTCCTATGCTTCCTGGCTGATGTTTTGGTCACTTTTGAATGCTGGCGGTGCTTTCACTCTAGTGGTAGCATGAGACGGAGCCTACAACCCACACAAGTGGCTCAGGTAGTGCAGCTCATCCAGGATGGCACATCAATGCGAACTGTGGCAAGAAGGTTTGCTGTGTCTGTCAGCGTAGTGTCCAGAGCATGGAGGCGCTACCAGGAGACAGGCCAGTACATCAGGAGACGTGGAGGAGGCCGTAGGAGGGCAACAACCCAGCAGCAGGACCGCTACCTCCGCCTTTGTGCAAGGAGGAGCAGTAGGAGCACTGCCAGAGCCCTGCAAAATGACCTCCAGCAGGCCACAAATGTGCATGTGTCTGCTCAAACGGTCAGAAACAGACTCCATGAGGGTGGTATGAGGGCCCGACGTCCACAGGTGGGGGTTGTGCTTACAGCCCAACACCGTGCAGGACGTTTGGTATTTGCCAGAGAACACCAAGATAGGCAAATTCGCCACTGGCGCCCTGTGCTCTTCACAGATGAAAGCAGGTTCACACTGAGCACATGTGACAGACGTGACAGAGTCTGGAGACGCCGTGGAGAACGTTCTGCTGCCTGCAACATCCTCCAGCATGACCGGTTTGGCGGTGGGTCAGTCATGGTGTGGGGTGGCATTTCTTTGGGGGGCCGCACAGCCCTCCATGTGCTCGCCAGAGGTAGCCTGACTGCCATTAGGTACCGAGATGAGATCCTCAGACCCCTTGTGAGACCATATGCTGGTGCGTTTGGCCCTGAGTTCCTCCTAATGCAAGACAATGCTAGACCTCATGTGGCTGGAGTGTGTCAGCAGTTCCTGCAAGAGGAAGGCATTGATGCTATGGACTGGCCCGCCCTTTCCCCAGACCTGAGTCCAATTGAGCACATCTGGGACATCATGTCTCGCTCCATCCACCAACGCCACGTTGCACCACAGACTGTCCAGGAGTTGGCGGATGCTTTAGTCCAGGTCTGGGAGGAGATCCCTCAGGAGACCATCCGCCACCTCATCAGGAGCATGCCCAGGCGTTGTAGGGAGGTCATACAGGCACGTGGAGGCCACACACACTACTGAGCCTCATTTTGACTTGTTTTGAGGTCATTACATCAAAGTTGGATCAGCCTGAAGTGTGGTTTTCCACTTTAATTTTGAGTGTGACTCCAAATCCAGACCTCCATGGGTTGATAAATTTGATTTCCATTGATCATTTTTGTGTGATTTTGTTGTCAGCACATTCAACTATGTAAAGAAAAAAGTATTTAATAAGATTATTTCATTCATTCAGATCTAGGATGTGTTATTTTAGTGTTCCCTTAATTTTTTTGAGCAGTGTATGTGACCAATAACATCTGTTAAATATGTGTATGTGACCAATAACATTAGATTTGAAAAACTTTGTCGTTAGGAGTGCCTTTGAGACGGCATGCACATGCGCAGTTTGACACGAGAGGCCCATTAGACCCGATGACGAGTTTAGTTGCCAACGTCGCCGTGACATCGCCTACAAGTGTGTTGGAGAAGCAGTTTCAGCCTATCCTCATACTGTACTGTCTTTGATATTATTCTGAACATGCCATTGGTTTGGTAGAACCTCCAGCACCATAGGTGGCAGCACTGGGCCATAAACTACTATGTTTACCGAAACACCATCGAAGTACTGGATCCAGAAGTGGACTTGTTGTAGGCAGGAAGAGGACTTTCCTCAACGAATTGTAGTGAAATTATGTTGCAAAGGTGACCAACCGTTCCGTAGATGGATCTAAATGAAGATGCTGTTAATTTGCGATGTGCACGGACATGCTTGTGTGTTCTCTGCGGCTTGCCTGCAGCAGGAAAGTCGACGCTTGCACGGGCGGTCAACTCTCACACTGTAGAACGAGGGTGGAGGTCCGCTGTCATTTCTTATGATGACTTGATTCCCGATGACGCTTTCAATGTGAAAGAAGTCGAGGATGAAGAGGATATGACGCGCCCGCAGACGGTAATGACGCGTCTGAGTCCTGTTATATCAATGTAGGCTACCGACAGCTGTAAATGCTCAAACTACCCACCTGGAATGTTTTGTGCTGAAATTCAATCAAATCTGCATTGCATTACACCGCCTGTAAACTACTGCAATTAGACAACATTTTTACCTGGGGAATCAAAAGGAAGTTAATTAGTGGTTAAGAGCGTTGTGCCAGTAACCGAAAGGTCTCTGGTTCTAATCCCCGAGCCGACTAGGTGAAAAATCTGTCGATGTGCCCTTGAGCAAGGCACTTAACCCTAATTGCTCCAGTAAGTCGCTCTGGATAAGAGCGTCTGCTAAATGACTTAAATGTAAATGTAAATGTAAATGCTATTTGAAATAGCCGACATATTTTTGTCCGAATGTATTCCTCATGTCACTGTGCCTGCCCATGTCTTTCAGCAAACTAAATGGAAGTTGCACAGACAAGCAGTGCTACAGTGTGTCGAACAGTTCCTACAGAGTCCCACAGAGCTGGGACAGCTAACCCCAAACGCCTACCAGATCGACCAGCGACGCCTGGCGTCGTCTCCTTCACGCCGCTCAGGTCTACGGGACGTCAGTGGGCTCTTCTCAGGCTTACCCTTCACCTTTAGATGGACCACCTCCTCCTCCACCACTCGTCATTCTACTGGACGACAACTTCTACTATCCAAGCATGAGATATGAGGTGTACCAACTGGCCAGGAAACGTATGTTAAATCGATAAGAGAAACTTTGGTTAAACTGTCATCTTATGGGCAGTTCCTAGCTTCAGATTATCTGGCGTACGATGCGATAAAACCCAAGATTTTTGGAGTCCATTACTGGGCGTTACAAGAAAGCGCCATACAAACCGCCGGCATAGATTTGTCAACTAACCTGTTACATTTTAGTCATTTTAGCAGACGCTCTTATCCAGAGCGACTTACAGTTAGTGAGTGCATACATTTTTCATACTGTTCTTGGCAATACTTTCTTCGTTCTTGATTCGGTAAAAAAAAAAAAATTCTTAGAAATGTCCGTTTCCAGTTACAGGTGGTTCTACACGAAAACTCAAAGATGTTTAAATCCTTGTTTTGTTACCGAGTGAGGAGGCTGCCGCACATCTAGCCTTTCCCAGCATCTTTACAGGAACTAGACGTGGCCGCTTGTAGAAGTAGATGACAGCGCGTCACACGGTGCGACCAAAACAAAAGATCTACACAGTTGCAAGATGCATATCTCACTCGATACAAAACATGTCCCACCTAGCAATCTTAAGGTGAATGCACTAACTGTAAGTGGCTCTGGATAAGAGCATCTGCTAAATGACTTAACATGCCAAATGTAAATGTAGAACCACCTGCAACTGGAAACGGACATTTCTAAGATACTTTTTTCACCGAATAAAGTATTGCCAAGAACCTGGTTACTTGACAAATCTATTTTTCCAGTAAATGTTTTTAATTTATTTACTGTGTCAATTGTTCAAACCAGTAGTCATCGTGCATAGAATTGTATGTATGGTTTGTTAAACGTTGAAATCAATGGTTTTTGTTTGGCATACGTCTTAAAGTGAAAAAGTCAGAGTCTCAGCGTAATTCCGTTACAGTGGAATTACGTTATGTGGTCATTTTAATGAGTTGGTCATCGTAGATATTGTTTGTCTACCTTGATATATTTTCTCTTTGAAACAGACTCTGTGGGATTCTGTCAGGTGTACGTTCAGTGTCCTGTGGAGGCCTGCGTCAGGAGAAACCAGCTGAGGCCCCAGCCCTTACCCAGTGACGTTATAGTAGAGATGGCCAAGCGCATGGAGCCTCCCAACCCTCGGAGAAACCCATGGGAGCAGAACAGTGTCACTCTGGACAGCAAAGACCACTTCACCATAGAATACATGTGAGTGAGTCCAGGAAAGAGTCCCCTTACACAAGCAGTCAGACAGGAAATGTGATGTTAACATATAATCCTGTGTTACTATTTATGTAAATGAGTCTTATGTTTCACTGTCTCCTTCAGCCAAAGGTTGGTGAAGGTGATCTCTACGGCGTTGGAGAACCCATTGAGTCCAGTCCAGGACAACACTGAGCGAAAGGTATGTTCTGTTAGTTCGTGGAACCCACTGCCACTTCCACAGGACATCTCTGTGAAACCCTCCTGTATTCTTCAGGAGGCAAAGCAACTTACATTATGGTGATGAGCAATTTTGACCATGTTAACGTGACCTCTGCTGTATCCTATGTTCTGTGGGAGGTTGACCGTCAGAGCTGTGCTGTATCCTATGTTCTGTGGGAGGTTGACCGTCAGAGCTGTGCTGTATCCTATGTTCTGTGGGAGGTTGACCGTCAGAGCTGTGGTGTATCCTATGTTCTGTGGGAGGTTGACTGTCAGAGCTGTGGTGTATCCTATGTTCTGTGGGAGGTTGACCGTCAGAGCTGTGCTGTATCCTATGTTCTGTGGGAGGTTGACCGTCAGAGCTGTGGTGTATCCTATGTTCTGTGGGAGGTTGACCGTCAGAGCTGTGGTGTATCCTATGTTCTGTGGGAGGTTGACCGTCAGAGCTGTGCTGTATCCTATGTTCTGTGGGAGGCTGACCGTCAGAGCTGTGGTGTATCCTATGTTCTGTGCGAGGTTGACCGTCAGAGCTGTGGTGTATCCTATGTTCTGTGGGAGGCTGACCGTCAGAGCTGTGCTGTATCCTATGTTCTGTGGGAGGCTGACCGTCAGAGCTGTGCTGTATCCTATGTTCTGTGGGAGGTTGACCGTCAGAGCTGTGCTGTATCCTATTTTCTGTGGGAGGTTGACCGTCAGAGCTGTGCTGTATCCTATGTTCTGTGGGAGGTTGACCGTCAGAGCTGTGGTGTATCCTATGTTCTGTGGGAGGCTGACCGTCAGAGCTGTGCTGTATCCCATGTTCTGTAGGAGGTTGACCGTCAGAGCTGTGCTGTATCCTATGTTCTGTAGGAGGTTGACCGTCAGAGCTGTGGTGTATCCTATGTTCTGTAGGAGGTTGACCGTCAGAGCTGTGTGTCCAGTGTGATCCACCAGGCTGACCAGGCCTGCAGACGCCTGGTCTCACAGGCCATGCAGGGGGCCAGAGGTCAGTATTCATCCTTACTATGATCCTTAAGGCACACACACTGATAGCGTTTGCCGGCCGAGAGTACTTAGCAACTCTGAACAGCGCCAGCCGTAATTTACAAACCGATTGCAAGCGGAAATGTCGGCAGTCAAGACGCCCACCGGCAGTTGGTCCCTAAAACACACTGTGGCGAACGAACGGCGAACAAAGGGCAGATGAACAGTAGACGGACATTAGGTCTGGTGTGTACGCTCCCTTAAAGGTAGACTCAGCGAGATGACGTTGCATGCACCAAGTAAACACAATATCCGCTCCATTTCCGCAACAACTAAGAGCGTTGAAGCGCGATGCTAAACTTCTCCTCTGTTTTGGTCCCGTACCAACCACGTTGGAGCAGCGTGAAAAAGCAACTCGTGCACATGCCAGATACTCTGTGACTGTGTGAGAGCACGAGAGCAAAGTCTTGCATCGCGCTCATCTCAAAATCTTTGTTACATTTACATTTACATTTACGTCATTTAGCAGACGCTCTTATCCAGAGCGACTTACACCTTATAGCCAGTGGGATCACCACCTTTAATGTTTTTTTTTTTTTTTTTTTTTTTTGGGGTAAGGGGGGGTAGAAGGATTACTTTATCCCACTTGTTGCAACGTCATCTTGCTGAGTCTTACCTTTTAACATAATCAAGAGTTCATAGAGGCAAGGCATGTTTTATGTTTCACAGAGAAAATGAATGATCATGTTTATATTGTAGGTTTCTAAGTAGTACGTTTCTTGACTCACTGCCTCCCTACTTTTTTTATGATCACCAATATATCTCTACTCTTCTTCCTCGATGTTCAGATCATAAACTTCCCCCAGAGAGGATGAGGTCTCTGGCAGCCGAGTTCAATGAATCCAAAACCAGATTTCTCCAGGACCTGCGGAAACAAGTTCTCCACAGCCTTCCCCTAACCCAGGGAGAGAGCATCGAGGTGGAGCAGGTTGTGAACCGAGCCGTGGACGTCTTCCACAAAGAGAAACAGGAAATCATTGCAAGATTCCTTCCTCCTTATGACAGAATAAATGCAACAGAAAATGAGGGATAGATGATCGCCATTATGTAACTTTCATTGATTGTATTGTCTCTTGTTCAATTATTTGTTTACAAATGTGAATATGTTCTTGAATGTATCATTTTCCTTGTAACCTTTTGAGTTGGATATAAATGAAGACACCACACAGTCAGCTCCCTGAAATAGTATTTTAGGATGTAAATAAATAAAAGCAGAGCTTTTGGTGAAGGTGAATTCATCACAAGTTGTAGTTTTTAATAGAAGTAGCTACATTATGGTCTCACAGAAGTTGTTCCTGAGTGGACATAGCTGCATTCTACTCTGATAATTTGTAATAACCACATTGCAATTCAAATACATCTGCTGAACAATTAATCAAAATGGCCACTCAGACTATTTACATTGACCCCCCTCCCCCTTTGTTTTTACACTGCTGCTACTCGCTGTTTATTATCTATGCATAGTCACTTTACCCCGACCTACATGTACAAATTACCTGGACTAACCTGTACCCCGGCACATTGACTCGGTACCGGTATCCCCTGTATATAGCCTCATTATTGTTATTTTATTGTGTTACTTTTTATTTTATTTTTTACTTTAGTTTATTTAGTAAATATTTTCTTAACTCTATTTCTTGAACTGCATTGTTGGTTAAGGGCATTTGACGGTAAGGTAAATACAATTTGACTTGAATTTATTTATTTAAAGGTAGACTCAGCGATATGACGTAGATGCAGAAAGTTAACAGCATAGTGGGTCAATTTCCACAACCACTTAAGAGCGTTGAAGTGCAAGACTCAACTTCTCTGCTGTTGTGGTGCCCTGGCTACCAGGCTGTGAACATGCGCAGACACACAGTGTGTGACTGTGAGAGCAAAGTCTTGCATCTCGCTCATATCTACGGCGTGGCAACGTCATCTCGCTGAGTCTACCTTTAAAGTGGATTTACAGGAAATGAAGGAGATCAAAGAAAAACAAGCAGGAAGAATAAAGGAACATAAAACAGATTGTTAAAAGTCTTATAAATAATAGTGAAATTGTTGAAAATCGTCGGGGGTGGACAGACAGGCACACTCCCACACAGACATCATTTACAAACGCAGTATTTGTGTTTAGTGAGTCCGCCAGATCAGAGGCAGTAGGGATGACAACGTTATATTGATAGGTGTGGGTCTTCCCATTCCACTGAGGCTGGTAACTAATGAACTTATCCTCTGCAGCAGAGGTAACTCTGGGTCTTTCATTCCTGTGGCGGTCCTCATGAGAGCCACTTTCATCATAGTGCTTGATGGTTTTAGCGACTGCACTTGAAGAAACTTTCAAAGTTCTTGAAATGTTCTGTATTGACTGACCTTCATGTCTTAAAGTAATGATGGACTGTCGTTTCTCTTTGCTTATTTGAGCTGTTCTTGCCATAATATGGACTTGGTCTTTTACCAAATAGGGCTATCTTCTGTATACCACCCCTACCTTGTCACAACACAACTGATTGGCTCAAAAGCATTAAGAAGGAAAGAAATTCCACAAATTAACTTATAAGAAGGCTCACCTGTTAATTGAAATACATTCCAGGTCATGAAGCTGGTTGAGAGAATGCCAAGAGTGTGCAAAGCTGTCATCATTCTTTCACTGCAGTTAGATGGGTTATCTGAGAACAGATGAGACCATATACAGTGGGGGGAAAAAGTATTTAGTCAGCCACCAATTGTGCAAGTTCTCCCACTTAAAAAGATGAGAGAGGCCTGTAATTTTCTTCATAGGTACACGTCAACCATGACAGACAAATTGAGAGAAAAAAAATCCAGAAAATCACATTGTAGGATTTTTAATGAATTTATTTGCAAATTATGGTAGAAAATAAGTATTTGGTCACCTACAAACAAGCAAGATTTCTGGCTCTCACAGACCTGTAACTTCTTCTTTAAGAGGCTCCTCTGTCCTCCACTCGTTACCTGTATTAATGGCACCTGTTTGAACTTGTTATCAGTATAAAAGACACCTGTCCACAACCTCAAACAGTCACACTCCAAACTCCACTATGGCCAAGACCAAAGAGCTGTCAAAGGACACCAGAAACAAAATTGTAGACCTGCACCAGGCTGGGAAGACTGAATCTGCAATAGGTAAGCAGCTTGGTTTGAAGAAATCAACTGTGGGAGCAATTATTAGGAAATGGAAGACATACAAGACCACTGATAATCTCCCTCGATCTGGGGCTCCACGCAAGATCTCACCCCGTGGGGTCAAAATGATCACAAGAACGGTGAGCAAAAATCCCAGAACCACACGGGGGGACCTAGTGTCCTTTAGTCTCCTGAGTGGCGCAGTGGTCTAAGGCACTGCATCGCAGTGTTAACTGTGCCACTAGAGATCCTGGTTCGAATCCAGGCTCTGTCGCAGCCGGCCGCGACCGGGAGACTCATGGGCGGCGCACAATTGGCCCAGCGTCGTCCAGGGTAGGGGAGGGAATGGCCGGCAGGGATGTAGCTCAGTTGATAGAGCATGGCGTTTGCAACGCCAGGGTTGTGGGTTTGATTCCCACGGGGGGCCAGTATAAAAAAAAAGATGTATTCACTAACTGTAAGTCGCTCTGGATAAGAGCGTCTGCTAAATGACTAAAATGTAAATGTAAATGTAGTGAATGACCTGCAGAGAGCTGGGACCAAAGTAACAAAGCCTACCATCAGTAACACACTACGCCGCCAGGGACTCAAATCCTGCAGTGCCAGACGTGTCCCCCTGCTTAAGCCAGTACATGTCCAGGCCCGTCTGAAGTTTGCTAGAGTGCATTTGGATCATCCAGAAGAGGATTGGGAGAATGTCATATGGTCAGATGAAACCAAAATATAACTTTTTGGTAAAAACTCAACTCGTCGTGTTTGGAGGACAAAGAATGCTGAGTTGCATCCAAAGAACACCATACCTACTGTGAAGCATGGGGGTGGAAACATCATGCTTTGGGGCTGTTTTTCTGCAAAGGGACCAGCACGACTGATCCGTGTAAAGGAAAGAATGAATGGGGCCATGTATTGTGAGATTTTGAGTGAAAACCTCCTTCCATCAGCAAGGGCATTGAAGATGAAACGTGGCTGGGTCTTTCAGCATGACAATGATCCCAAACACACCGCCCGGGCAACGAAGGAGTGGCTTCGTAAGAAGCATTTCAAGGTCCTGGAGTGGCCTAGCCAGTCTCCAGATCTCAACCCCATAGAAAATCTTTGGAGGGAGTTGAAAGTCTGTGTTGCCCAGCGACAGCCCCAAAACATCACTGCTCTAGAGGAGATCTGCATGGAGGAATGGGCCAAAATACCAGCAACAGTGTGTGAAAACCTTGTGAAGACTTACAGAAAACGTTTGACCTGTGTCATTGCCAACAAAGGGTATATAACAAAGTATTGAGAAACTTTTGTTATTGACCAAATACTTATTTTCCACCATAATTTGCAAATAAATTCATAAAAAATCCTACAATGTGATTTTCTGGATTTTTTTTTCAACTTTTGTCTGTCATAGTTGACGTGTCCCTATGATGAAAATTACAGGCCTCTCTCATCTTTTTAGGTGGGAGAACTTGCACAATTGGTGGCTGACTAAATACTTTTTTCCCCCACTGTATCAATAAGCTGATTAAACAGCAAGATCATTACACAGGTGCACGTTGTGCTGGGGACAATAAAAGGCCAGTCTGTCTCAAGTTTTGAGGGAACTTGCTATTGGCATGCTGACTGCAGGAATGTCCACCAGAGCTGTTGCCAGAGAATTGAATGTTCATTTCTCTACCATAAGCCACCTCCAACGTTGTTTTAGAGAATTTTGCAGTACGTCCAACCGGCCTCACAACCCCAGACCATGCGTAACCACGCCAGCCCAGGACCTCCACATCCGGCTTCTTCACCTGCGGTATCGTCTGAGACCAACCACCTGCACAGCTGATGAAACTGTGGGTTTGCAAAACCATATAATTTCTGCACAAACGGTTAGAAACCGTCTCGGGGAAGCTCATCTGTGTGCTCGTTGTCCTCACCAGGGTCTTGACCTGACTGCAGTTTGGCGTCTTAACCGACTTCAGAGGGCAAATGCTCACCTTTAATGGCAACTGGCACACTGGAGAAGTGTGCTCTTCACGGATGAATCCCGGTTTCAACTGTACCGGGCAGATGGCAGTCGTGTGGGCGAGCAGTTTGCTGATGTCAACGTTGTGAACAGAGTGCCCCATGGTGGCGGTGGGGTTATGGTATGGGCAGGCATAAGCTACGGACAACAAACACAATTGCATTTTATCAATGGCAATTTGAATGCACAGAGATACCGTGACGAGATCCTGAGGTCCATTGTTGTGGCATTCATCTGCCGCCATCACCTCATGTTTCAGCATGATAATACACGGCCCCATGTCGCAAGGATCTGTACACAATTCCTGGAAGCTGAACATTTCCCAGTTCTTCCATGGCCTGCATACTCACCAGACATGTCACCCATTGAGCATGTTTGGGATGCTCTGGATCGACGTGTGTGACAGCGTGTTCCAGTTCCCGCCAATATCCAGAAACTTCGCACAGCCATTGAAGAGGAGTGGGACAACATTCCTCAGGTCACAATCAACAGCCTGATCAACTCTATGTGAAGGAGATGTGTCGCGCTGCATGAGGCAAATGGTGGTCACACCAGATACTGACTGGTTTTCTGATCCACGCCCCTACCTTTTTTTTTAAGGTATCTGTGACCAACATATGCATATCTGTATTCCCAGTCATGTGAAATCCATAGATTGGGGCCTAATGAATTTATTTCAATTGACTGATTTCCTTATATGAACTGTAACTCAGTAAAATCTTTGAAATTGTTACATGATGCATTTCTATTTTTTTGTTCAGTGTAAATCAGAATGTGGATATTTCTACCCTGTGGTATTTCATATCATAACATTACTTTCCCCATAGTCCAATATATATAATTGATTTGGGAGACAATCCTAAACATCTGAGATCACTGCATAGAAAACATAACTCCATTACAGCGCCCACCAGACACTGCTACATCAATCTGGATTTCTAGGTTTTCAGAAAACATACAGGAACTCCTTTAAAATACAATATGAAAAACAAACTCCATTGCTCTCACTCGATCTGTGCAAATCATTTCAATACTCAGAAAGGGTACTGTTACATTACTGATTGTAAGGACCACAATCATTTCCAACAATGCTACAACTGTTATGCGATTCTTTTGAAATACTTTTAAAAAGGCTCAGAAGAATACTTTGGCCTTTCAATCAAGTTTAGTCATGTACGACTTATCAAAGTCTGAATGATTTGGCTCAAACACAAATTGCACTTAAGCTACAGATCATTGTTCAATTAGGAGGTATTTGCTAAATAGCACCAGTTATTATAAATCAGTAATGCTAGCTGAAGGTAAGAAAGGATGTGATTGGCAGCACCTACTAGGAGAAAAAATGGAATCAATCTGAATGTGCAACAGAGAAAACATGGAATCAATCTGAATGTGCAAAAGAGAAAACATGGAATCAATCTGAATGTGCAAAAGAGAAAACATGGAATCAATCTGAATGTGCAACAGAGAAAACATGGAATCAATCTGAATGTGCAACAGAGAACAGTAAAACACAGAGTGAAATAATGTCCAAGCTGAAGCATTAATATGACAGATCTCATTCACTTCAAGCCGTTGATATAATGTTATGTTTACACTCACAATAAAGTGAGATACTAGTAGGTGGCAACACAATGTATAATAAAGCATGTCTGTTTGTCAATGTTGACCACCTATTTGGACCAATGCACATGGTCTTCCTTCATAAGACAAGGTCAAAACTGTTTCAAATCTAGCCACAGCAACCAGATACCTTGCTAATTGCTATTTTACTATAAGTTTAGTCACTCGCATGTAATATCATAAATGTTGATGTAACTAATTCAGTTATAAGAACCTACTTCCTTTAAATTCTCAGATAGCACCGAGGAGGACACATGTTGTATTTTTGACTTTGTTTTGTTTTACCCCATATGTAACTCTGTGTTGTTGTTTTTAATCGCACTGCTTTGCTTTATCTTGGCCAGGTCGCAGTTGTAAATGAGAACTTGTTCTCAACTGGCTTCTTACCTGGTTAAATAAAGGTGAAATAAAAAAATAAAATAAAAAATGTCTCTAACCCTCCGGATTCCTTTCCCATTATAGAAGCATCAATTTCTCATTTAAAAGTAACATCACTCTCTAAGTTATATAATTTAAAAAACAAAATAAATATTGATCAGATTCGCTCTGATCCCAGATTATTATAACCGGAATAAGTTAATGTGCTCTCTGAGACGCCAAACATCGTTTCAAATTCATCTTGGTTGCTTTGGAAGTCAGTCAATGCTTGTGCTGCCCGCGAGCAAAGTGGCAGGCAAAGTCATACTTGTTCCTGCACTTGCAGCCGCAGATATTGCACTGGAAGGGGTTCTCGTAGCCGTGGCAACCCATGTGAATGGTATACATGATGTTGTCCGAGAAGTAGGTGTCGCAGTGCTGGCAGCTGTGCAGCATCTGTGGGTCTGGGTCCTGTGTGCTACCGGGCAGGGCAGGGGTACTGGGCTGGCTGTTACTAATGCTAGCTGAGCTGGTGCGTGTGTGTGTACTGTGCTCACTGCTGGGTTCTGGGTCCACAGGGCTGGGGCTGTAGTTCCTGCTATGGCCTGCAGGGGGCTGGAGGTCCTCGGGGCTGGTTGGGGAGGAGGTATGGTGGTGGTGGTGGTGGTAGTGGTGGTGGGCACCACTTTGACTGGTGGACAAAGACACCGATACTGCAATCGGTGCACCAGATTCCTGCTGGATGAGGAAAGGCTTGACGTCGTGACAGGACAGTCTGTCAGGAGACACAGGGGTCTGGTCCTCTTGGGGGAGGTCGGACAACTGACCTGCCAGCGTAGACAGCTGGTTCAGTGGATTGCTGACCACCATCATGTCACTGTGGACATCCCTGCTGGCCCCGCCTCCTCCTCCTCCTCCTCCAGTCCCATGGTTCTTCTCCATGCTCTCAGACACCTCATGGTTCAGGTAGTCTGGTTTCCCCACAACCATGGAGGGAGGGCTGAAGTCGATGAGGAGGCGTCTGCTGTAGCCTCCCAGCCCACTGTTCTTCTGTAGGACGCTCAGCATCTTCTTCTTGTCGTCGGAGAGGGAGGAGGGCAGCCCCGACCCCTTCGTGGGTAAAAGCTTGTGGCGGCGCCGTCGGTGGTGGGACAGGTTACTGCGGTCGCTGCAGCGGAAGGAGCAGAGGTCACACTTGTAGGGCTTCTCTCCAGTGTGGGAGCGCATGTGGGCCTCAAGGTGGCGCTCGTAGGCAGAGGCGAAGGGGCACAGCTGGCAGTGGTGAGGCTTCTCTCCTGTTAAATCAACCAAGAGGGGTTTATTTGAACGTCTCGGTACATATCCAACGTACATTAAATGTTATGTCACACAATATAAAGTGGTCCTCTGTAGCTCAGCTGGTAGAGCACGGCGCTTGTAACGCCAAAGTAGTGGGTTCGATCCCCGGGACCACCCATACACAAAAAATGTATGCACGCATGACTGTAAGTGGCTTTGGATAAAAGTGTCTGCTAAATGGCATATTATTATTATTTATTATTATAAAACACACGTAAAAAGATAAGATCCTAACTATATGGACCCGTGCAGGGGTTAGACTGACCATCTGGCATTTTGGGCAAATGCCAGACGAGGATGGTAAATTTTACCTGTGTGAATTCTGATGTGCTCTATCAGGCGAGCGGTGCCTTTACTGGCGTAGCTGCAGTAGCTACACTTGAGCTTGCCGTCGTAGGTCCTCTGGAAGCCGTCCACCAGCAGCCCGGAGCGGTCGTCCAGAGAGACTTCCACTGACCCATTCTGATGATCAATCTCCGGGATAGCTGCTGCCACTGGGAGAGGAGAGGAGCCGACAAGACATAGAATTGAATTGAATAGATACTTTATAGTACCCTTTTTCACCGGAAATTGATTCCTGTAACAATACCCAACCTCACACAAAAAGCCTAGGTCTGTAGCTCAAATCACATCTACAACTTATCCGGAAGCATGATTTGTAAAATCACACTTTACATTGACACACTGATCAATTTCCTGGTGAAAAATTGATTCTGGCAGACAATCTAGTCAGAATCCATTAGTGTCAGTCCAGTTTATGTCTGGTGCTTGAGATGCATTAGATCACTTGAGATGCATTAGGCCATCTTTGTTAAGTAAATATCTCCACAATATGGTATCTTAACAGCAAAACCACTTCTTGCTCCTCCAGAGGACCCCTTTTTATTTTTTTTATTATTATTTATTTCACCTTTATTTAACCAGGTAAGAAGCCAGTTGAGAACAAGTTCTCATTTACAACTGCGACCTGGCCAAGATAAAGCAAAGCAGTGCGATAAAAACAACAACACAGAGTTACATATGGGGTAAAACAAAACATAAAGTCAAAAAATACAACAGAAAATATATATACAGTGTGTGCGAATGTAGTAAGTTATGGAGGTAAGGCAATAAATAGGCCATAGTGCAAAATAGTTACAATTTCGTATTAACACTGGAATGATAGATGTGCAAATAGAGATACTGGGGTGCAAATGAGCAAAATAAATAACAATATGGGGATGAGGTAGTTGGGTGGGCTAATTTCAGAAAGGCTGTGTACAGGTGCAGTGATCGGTAAGCTCATTGGCAGCAGAGAACTGGAAGGAATGGCGGCCAAAGGAGGTGTTGGCTTTAGGGATGACCAGTGAGATATACCTGCTGGAGCGCAGACTACGGGTGGGTGTTGCTATGGTGACAGACTACGGGTTAGGTTCCCACACGGCCATATTTCTACGGGTTTTGGATGACAAACAATTTTTTTTAAAACATTACAAAAACATGAAAACAGACCTATTAGGCTATTCCCCGTAGCGCTGGTCCCTGTTCCACTGGTTTAATTTCCCGAATGCTTAGGGAAATTAGGGATATGGCCTATTTTGGACATTTGAAAAGACGCATCATAAAGTCAAGTAAACTTCTTTGATGTGTTCATAACGGGTCTCACCAGCTTGGAGGTGGTCAGGCTCTATCTCCCCACCGACGGAGCCGGAGATCATGTTGACATGGTGTGTTTGCTGTGTCAGGTACTCTTGAAAGTCCTTTATGAAATCCAGAGGCTTTAGATCATCATCCATTTGGCTAGCTAGGTGTATTATGATGACTTCTGATCACCGCGACCTGTAAGATAATGCAATAATAATTGATGGTTAAACATAATGAACCACGTGATAATCATATTGTTACAATTTCCACAATACCACTGCATGTATGCCATAACCTATAGCCCAATATTGGACTAAAGGAGCCTAACGTTACTCCTTAGTCCAAGGAACTTACATGTTCTGCTTAAGGGCGATTTTGGCTCTGGAAGCCAAAACAGCCAAATACTCCATCTAAACGTGAAGCGATTGTCAATTGCGGTACGGTTCTAGAAACATAAATCCCTCTACTTTCATATCACAACAAAATAATTTCACAAATGCAAAACACACATTTACTGTACTGTTTTAATCGGTTTTAACAGTTGCAGCCGACAGTATTTTTCAGTGACAACAGTTTGTGGCGTCTGTCTTCCGTTTCCACACAGGTGTTAGATGCAGATAGCTAATTAGTACAGGTAGTCTTCTGTCTGTTTTCTGTAAACAAGCGCTGTAACATGGAAATATGGCCGTGTGGGAACCTAACCCTATAAAGGTGCATCAATGTAACTTTTTTCCCCGATATGAAAGATAAGGTTATTATGCTTCCAAAACCGTACCGCAAGCTATGCGTGTTAATGTTCAGACCGACCGTCATCCAATGACTCTTAAAATGTAATGATACTGAGAGTCATGATTAAGGGGCTAGCCATAACCATGATCCATTATGTGGGCAGTCAGTCACGATGATAATTATGTTGTCACCAAAAACATCTCATAACAGTGGCGACATGACCTGCAGCAGTTGATACACAGCTCATCACTTCACTACTACCGGCGTTGCTAGCTAGTTAGTATAGTAATGTGCGCTGGACATTTTACTTGCCAGCTGGTCGTCAATCACAGCACCGTTAAAATATATGCGGTAAACTTACGTGTTCCCATCCGTTTATTATGTCAATTCTAAGCCCGATGTCAAGATGGACATTTCCGACCCCTATCTAGAAAAACGAAATGTGTGATGACAAGTTAGCTGGTTGTGTAAAAAACAAAAGAGAGAGAGCAGGGTAGCTACGTTAGCTATGCAACACTAAAATGACTCCCATTTTAGAAGAACATAGCTAGCTGTCAGTGAAAGTTCCTAGTTGGAAATACAACAGCAGAAAGAGAAGGGTTTGCCTAGAGGAACATGTTTATTTGATTAAAGAAGCCCTGCGTATATAATTGAAGACAGGAGTAAGAGCTGATACGTTCTACAAGTGATGATGCGAAACTGTTCAATGGTCACTGTTTCACCCGGTCAATACAAAAGTGAACACACTCACATGTAAACAAGAGAAAACATGGCGTCGCCCTTGATCAGGTGCATCTCTAAGGTGAGACGAATAGTAATGAAAAAACGGTTGCTTCGTTCACATTGTTGTTTTATGATATGTTGTCTTTGTGTAGTTCGTACTTCATTAGAAATACGAACTTAGCTAGCCAGTGTTCTTTTGTAACTTTAAATTACCCCATTGCATAACCTAGCTAGCGTTGGCTAGCTGCATGCTAATAGTAATTACATAGCAAGTTAGCTACTGCCTGCGTCAGTTATACTACAAGTTACTCATGAAGACATGTAATGCTAGTGTCACTGCTTTTATCTTGCCGTATATATCCACCACTCTCTCATATTCACTCATGCTGGAGTATGGATATATTTTGGTTGCCTGACGACTCAAACTGAATTGTTCCGCTGCTCTATTTTCGCTAGCTACATACTGTACTTGATTGGGAGAAGAATGTAACGTCCGTGTGTGGCGTAGTGTTTGACCGCAGGGTAAATCTATTTGAGAATGAGCATCCCTTTTGATTGGAACGAAACCTTCCATACATACAGTATTTGCCCATTGTAGAAGTGCTCAGAAAGTGACTTTTTTTGACCTGAATGCCAAAACATTCAAGAGCTAAAGGTGCTTGACCTATTCTGCATACCCCACCATACCATGAGACATCCATGTCTTCATCACTGGAAAAAAAATAAACGGTTGAGTTTGATATCATAAAAGCTTACAAGGGTTGTCAAACTACTTTATAATTTCTTTAAAAAAAGACATTTTTATATCTTTGTCAATTATCTAAAAACGCGTAAACTCAGAATGTTTTTTCTCCCTACTTGTGCCCACCATTGGTTAAGGCACAACATGCTCTTGAATACAGGGTGGGTGTCATTTCAATCATATAAATTATAGAATGGACCTCTCCCTTCAGACCACTGCAATTTAGCAGGTACACCATCAGGGGTGGTGTGTTCAATAGGGCGATATGGGCGACGCACTGCCAAACGGGAAAAGGAAGGGATTTTTTTTCTAATCAATTATATCACGGCAACAGTAGTTATCAGTGTTGTAATCTAGACGTCTGATCTGCCACAGTGCCACTAAATGTCCAATCAGGCTAAAGTCGTGCTTCAAATGGCCCCCCCCCCCCTTTTGGGGCGATTTCAGTCAGGTTGAAAATCGCCCAGAAGTCTGTCATAGACTCCCATGTAAAATCTATTTTTTTCAAATATCAGAGCTTTCAATACAATCTCTATGGGTTTCTGAGGGCTTGCACTTACGCGCTTTCGTCATACGTAACATAACCATGAACGTAACTAAGAAAAGAGCGGGGTAGCAGCGTCAATCAATTCACTATTACTGTCAAAATGGCTAGGCTTCAGTGCAACTCGATTGTGTCTTTGAAAGAAGTTCCTTTTTGTCGGCGAACAAATGAAGATAAATTGGCAACGAAACAATTAGGACCTCCCAGACCAAATTTAATAATTCAACAGGTTTCTACTAAAGGGGGGAAGTCCTACACCCGAGGATTTTCCAAAAATTGGTACGAACGAAAAACCTGGCTAGCAGGCTGCGATGTAGCTAATGCAGTCTTCTGCTACCCCCTGCTTACTCTTTCACCCTGAAGGCGGCACGGCAGACAGCACCGCTTGGACAGCGACTGGTGTGTAACGGACATGCACCATCTTTCAGGAAAGATTAAGAAACATGAGCTGTCAAAGACCCACATGGATACCTGTTTGAGATTGTCTGCATTGGGGAGAGTGAACATTCCCACTCAACTGGATGAGGGATACAGGCTAGCTGTCCGCCGCCACAACGATGAGGTTAGTGTTGATAATCACAAGTTTACTGGAGAACTGAAACTGACAAGGCTGACAAGATAGGACCCTTTTGTCCATTGTTATTGGATAGGAACATAACTTATAACCAGCTCCTGACCTAAATAGATCTTAGCACAACATTTTACTCAACATATCATATTCCATATTCACTATAACAAATATATTTACTACGACATTAGCAAGAACCGCCACATCCTCAGCCGGCTAATCCAGTGTGTTTTGGGAGTTTTGAGTTAATGCGAGCAAATTGAAATCCACCAACCCTGGTAAGCCACACTTGAGTTCATAATCACTTATACGCCCTGTCTTGGTTGCTGACATTCTTTTTAAAGGTGTAGGTCACATCCAGAAAAATTGAGAATTTTTCAGGGCCGCCACGTACACCATTGAAATTAAAATGTAATTGAAATGTTTATTTCTAATTACTACAACAACTATGGCTGCTGGTCGGTCCACCCACCGTTGAATGGCTACTTAAATGGGAATGTCTATTCTAGAATCTATATTTCTATGATTCCAATAGGTTTCCTATGGAGGATTGACAGGATCATTTAAAACAACAGATATTCCCATTCAAGTCAACATTCTCTGATGTCTGGACCTCCAACCATATTTGAAAGTAGAAATTTCAATTTAATTCCCATTTTAGTACATTTATCAGCCAAAACATTATACCCACCCCGTATTCAAGATCATGTTGTCTCAACCAATGGTGGGGCTACAGCATACGCCAATATGAAGTAAAAAACAGAGTGAACGCGTTTTAGATCATTTATATTTAAGGTGAAAAAATTCATTTTTTTAAATAAAAAAACATTTAGTTCAAGAAATTATAAGTTAGTTTGATAACCCTGTTTTGTAAGCTTTTATGAAATCAAACTCAACCGTTTATTTTTTCCAGCGATGAAGACATGGATGTCTGATGGTATGGTGGGGTATGCAAAATAGGTCACATTTCTCTTGAATGTTTTGGCATTCATGTCCAAAAAGTCATTTTCTGAGCACTTCTACGATGGGCAAATATATTTATGGAAGGTTTCGTTCAAATCAAAAAAGGGATTGAATTCAAATGGATGGCTGCCGTATCAAGGAGTTTGGGTCGCCGGGGAAATATTAGTTGGGATTGAGTAGAGTGGGAACTTTTGGCCTAGACACTCAAGTTGTATCATGTCATCCATCAGCGAAAATGTAACCGTGTAATTTCAGGTTGGTAGGCAGGTGTCCCGGCCATGGAGTGTGTACCAGCAGGGGCTGCGGAACAGATCCACCCAACCAGACGTGTCTGCAGAGCAGGCTGCTGCCCTGGGGGTCTCCCACCCTCCACTACAGACATACTCTGAGGAGGAGGGGATGATGAGGGATGCTGGTGAGTTGGAGCATGCAGGATATACACTAGGCAGAGCAACAAAGGAAATATATATATATATATATATATATATATATATATATATATATATATATATATATATATATATATATATATATATATATATGAGCGCTAAAACCAAACATTTTAATATTTAATAAACATACTGGATCACGCTATGGATTTCTCCATTTGTCATGAATTCTGTTTATGTTCAGTTCATCTAATCACTTGCATTTCATTTTACTGTCCCATATTTGAACAGTGAAAAAGTTTGCACAGGAGCGTCTTACCCCGTTTGTGTCGAAGATGGACGAAAACTCTCATATGGATCCGGAAGTGATAAAGTCACTCTTTGAACAGGGGGTATGTGTTTCTCTCCTTTCCAGGCTATGGTCATTAGGCAAAGACTCCAGCCACCCTAGTCATAGACTGTTCTCTCTGCTACCGCACGGCAAGCGGTACCGG